GGCTCAGGCGCAGCTGAACAGTCTCGAACCCCTCCTAAAATAAATACACCCCATGCCCTCAAAACCGCACATATCCTCATCTCGGAGCCAAAGCCCCCACATTTCCGGCACCGGCAGTCTGAACTGCAAACGCCTTTGTATCTGTTGTTACAAAAATCACAACGTCGTGGCAATACAAACGTGTTTGTTTGTTTGTTTACTTTTCTATAGCTTACATAATGACCCTGTCATAGCTAAGGCCTTGTAGCGTGAATGGCAGGACCATTGCTGAACAGTGAATTGTAAAGCATTTGACAAATTTGACGTACTATCCCAGCATTCACCTGGAGGGACTGAGGAAATCAGCGAAATGCCTGAGGTCAGAATAGGCGGTGACCACGCCGAGATTGGAACCAGTCGCATCCCGAATAGAATTGACCACATGGTCCGCAGGCGTTTAATGAAAATCCGCAACTGCAGGCAGCCGCGACAAAGGTGTGAGTTTGGTAGCAAGGACGGTGCAGTGTTAATATACTTAATGTTTGATGCGAGACCGTACACACCAGTAGTTATGAACTTATTGAACACTTTAAACTCGTAATTGCGAGCAACTGCGATAGTCTCACTGAGTTACACATTCCAGAGATCACTGTAGCTAGAGGACATATAAAGTCTTCTCATACATCACTAGCCGTTGCTTGGCAGCGGCTTTCAACAGCGGAACTTTCCGCTTCCTCTGGGTTCCCGAACTGTCCCCGGTCTCAACTACTAGCTTCTCACAACTGCAACTCTCTAAGTCAAAGTTGAAGTTACTTCACGACTGGCTGTTTACCACCAATCAGTTCGTCTTGGCGACAAGTCCCTTGAGACAACCGACCAGAAATTTTTCTCAAGTGAACCCTTGCGGCGGTAGTAGTAGTAGTAGGGTTACTAGTAGTGGTTTCCGACAAGAAGATGGGTTTGTCTCGTATGAATATGCTTGGCCTTTTATCAAGTATGCATATAGCACATGTGGCATGTTACTGAAAATTCCTTCTTGTGCACTACACACAAGTCCCCTGTCAGTACAGACTTTGGAAAACGGATCACGCATATCTTACATCGTTACATAGACCCGGCACGTATCGCACAGAAAACGTCTCTTTCATTATTGCGTGTTCTGTCGTTACCGGGGAAAAACGTGTCCACAGAGCTGTTCCCTAGCTACGGCAGTTGTGCTGTTACTTGGCAATAGAACGAAACGCGCCCTGCCATGGAGCTCGCTAGCCTACCCAGAGCATGACGCGCCCTGCCATGGAGCTCGCTAGCCTACCCAGAGCAAGATGCGCCCTGCCATGGAGCTCGCTAGCCTACCAAGAGCATGACGCCCTGCCATGGAGCACGCTAGCCTACCCAGAGCATGACGCGCCCTGCCATGGAGCTCGCTAGCCTACCCTGAGCAAGACGCGCCCTGCACGATGCTGTGCCCCCCGTGACGAGGACTGAGGGCTGTCGCATGTGTATCCCCACGATGCAAGTGCCCGCAGCCGCTCCCCTGTGGAAGGAAGCGGCCGTGGCCCGAATTCATGTAAAACCTTGCCGTTTGAGCCAACTTGTTCTGCAGATCTGCTGGCCAGTAGGAAATCAATACACTTTGCAATATCTTTGCAACCACTGCCACTCTGCCTTCACGCTTACTTCAACACCGCGTCTTACTGCGGCCGGGAATTGAAGGCCGACCCCTCGCGCCGGGGGCCCCTGTCGCTAATTACAAAGAGGGAGAGTTTCGGCGCTTCAAACACTTGCCGCTCCTGCAAGAGCGACTCAAGTGCCTGTGGAGCGCCCCACGCGTGCCACTCTCGCGCGGGTTCACAGTGCCGAACTGACCCGAGCTGACCTCACAGATGTTGCGTCGGTCACACCCCACACCGTGCAACAATGAGCCAACACGCACTCGGCTCACCAATGTTTGCCAGTGCAAGCGCCCCGGCGACTTGGCCCCTTGCTGCTCACCACCCTGAGAGAAACCAGAAATTGCTGCGGTTAGCACTGCTGCTGCAGTGTACGGGCAGTTCCGACGCGTAGACTGAGGTTTTCCTCAGTCCCCCACGCCAAAGAGCCAGTCACTGGTCTCCCGAATTCAGTCTGCTCCCCATCTCCGAAACGTCTGGATTCTGCCACTTGCCCGACGGAACCGCTGTGCTCTCTTCACGGACAGCCCCACGTCCCACCGCCTTTGGGCCCTGTGGTCTGTGGGGCTACGTTGGCTTTACGATGGGCTGATCTCCTGTGCAGGGAGCCCCGAACAACTGAGCGAGATGACTCAGCGGGAACGCATCACGATGATACTTCTTTCGAATCTCGGCCGATGCACTCACTAACCTGGGTGAGGCTGTAGTTGCAGTGACTTGGCCAGACCGTGGTTCCTTCGTTCCAAATCCTTGCAATTAACGATAACGTACCGCCGCACTGCAGGACTCTGTATGCTCAGCCTGGATAGCGAGACCGGTGGCAGGGCAGAGCGCCTCACAGCTAGAGGCTGGCTTCCTGCATCGAACTGGAATCGCCCAGTACCCACAGCACGAGCAAGAGTCAAACGTAGAACACGTGATATTCGAAACTGAAAAAATACATTTATTTCTCGACATATTCTCCACCAACATTCACACATTTGTCCCATCGCTCTAACAGTACGCCGAAATCCACAGCACAAAAGTCTTTTGACTGTTATCTCAGCCACTTCTGCACTCCGTTTCAAAGTCTTCGTCATCGGCGAAAGCTTTGCCACCCAACTGTGAACGCTTAACGCGACAAACACTTCTCACTGTAAACGGGAACTACTTCTTTAATAATATCCTTTGCATTGAGTCCTTTTGCCACAAAGAAACGCACAACAGGACCCTGCTCTTCGGGAGTATACCCTCAAACACGGTCGCCATTTTGACTACTGAAACAAGCCTCTGAACATGAGCATGCGCGTCAGTTACCTGGACTGTGCTGCTCCCTAGTGATACACATAGAAAACTTGTTACGTCCATTAGAGCTGTTTCACTTCCCTTTGTGTCCAATTTACTGACGGTCCCTCGTACTTTCTGTTCAGCATCCCACTGAGGGCTGCGTCCGCCAGTTCGTTCTCAAAACGCCACTGAAAAGGGCGAGGGCCAGCAGCAGGACTGCGAACAGAATGCGCTAGGGCCCCCCCCCTAACGGGACGGCAGTGAGGCCGGAGGGCAGGAATGGGGCAGGCACGGGCCACACCGCATCAAACAATACAGTGCACACTCTTCTCCTTGGTTACACTGCAAGCCGTACTGGCAGGGTCTCTCAGCGTACGGACCAAGAATCGAACTGGGACCTATCCAATGCCGTGCCGATACTGCAGTCCTCTGCACTCGAACAGTTCTCAAAGAAACGAGAAGCTCCGGGCAGAACTCATAAAGCCGATACGAAAAGACAAAGAGGATTAGTTAAACACCACTTCATGAAGACGTGTGGGGGAGTGATGGCATAGCTCCATACACTCTTACCTTCGAAATTTGATATAGTACAGTAGTCAACTTCACGCCGGGGCCGCTTTACCCCCCTGGAATATGTCCGCTGTACTCACTGAACCGGGAACCGGGTGAACCCCAAAACCGATCTCGAAGGTGTGAAGAAAATTAAATTTCATGCCCCTGCCGGGAATCAAACCCCGATGCCTAAGTCGTCACAGACAATGCGCTAGTGTCTACATCCATCGAGTTACCTCGGCTTCACAGCCAAACGATTTAGTTTTCGTGGTTTGCCTCAGTCATCCAGGCAAATATAATATATTAGGCCAATCTGGAATCAGGCCACGGCAACTTCCTTCCGAATCCTTGCTAGTTCATTATCTACCAATGATACAAGCACCCCCGTCCAAAGAAACAGAGCTCGAGGCTGTCAGTGTCAAAGTGAGACGGGTTCCACTCTCTCACACAAAGAAAAGCAAGTCCTTGATTCGAGTCCGGGCGCCGGTCTCGTCTCCTGACGGGTGAAGCTTATCACTTTGCCGTGACGTGGCGACACCTGTCAACTTGTCAGCCGCTTTGAGACGCAACAGGAGGGCGGCGCGACTCAAAGGCGCGTGACAACGTCGAGGATGACGTGAGATGGCCAAAATGCGAGGGAGGCGACATGTGGTGGCTACACGGCGCCGCCAGTAGCCAGACTGTAAGCTGGCGGTATTCCCCTCGAGTGAATGAGAAAAACCACGAAGAAGTCCTGTAAGTTCTGGATCGTGAGAATCACTTTCTCGAGGCTTTGCCCCTTCCACCCGCTGTTGCATACACCACCTTCTCTGGCCTTTGTTAACCAGCGCAAAGAACCTGTCACTAGACCGATCTTGCGAACAGAAACGCTAGACGACACGGGAGGCAGGGGTCTGCCAAGGGGAAGGGGGGTGCAGAGACCTTACGTTTGGGCAGTCGGAAACTATTTGTCTCTTCGCCCTACAATATTGTCACGTGGTAGAGTGAGTGTAGACGGGGTTGGACTGGTAATCGGATTTACTGAACACTTACAGAACGTAACTACGACAGTCTCACTGAGTTACACACTCCAAAGATCACTTAACAACAGCACACATAGTCTTCTCAGTCTTCAGCAGCCGTTCCTTGGTAGTGGCTTTCAAACGGCGGACGTTCCCTTTTCTCTGGGTTCCCGAAGTGTTCTCGGACTCAGCTACCTGCTTCTCACTTCTCACACTGCAACTCGCAACCGACTCCTAGCAACGGCTGTTATACTGCCGCCCGTTTACACAGCCGTTGCTTGGCAATGACTCTACATATCACAGCATTCAAGGCAGAAGACAGACTACTTTTTCAATGTTTTAATATTTGGCTTTTCAATATGCTGTATGTATTTCTTGCTTAATCTTGATCCTTTTCTAAAGGAAGGGGGAAGGGGTAGATGCCTGGCTGTCCCTCCACCCTGCCGATGCCTTTGGCATTATGGCGGAGGGGGATGTGGAGGGTTCGATCCCTAGGCTCCATGATAGTCTGACTGTTCTGTTGCATGTGCAGGCAAGACGAGCGAAGGTTCCGACTGCGAGTCCGAACCGGGAATTCCCCTCAAGCGGAAACAGCGCCGGAGCCGCACGACGTTCACGGCGCAGCAGCTGGACGAGCTGGAGAAGGCGTTCGAACGCACGCAGTACCCGGACATCTATACGCGGGAGGAGCTGGCGCAGCGCACCAAGCTGACGGAGGCCAGGATACAGGTGTGGTTCAGCAACCGCAGGGCTCGGCTCCGCAAGCAGCTGTCCAGCAGCTCAGGGAGCTACGGGTCGATGGGCCTGTCCATGTCCTACCCGGCGTCTTCCGGCTCCTACATGCTGCCGGACCCGGCATTCGCGTCCACATCGACCCAGAGTGAGTGGCAGGCCTCCTCGGGTGACTGGTTGTCGTCATGCAGGGGAATAATATTGCAAAGGTCCCGTGTGCGATCCCGGGAACATTCCTCTAGGAATGATAACAACCGGTCACCTGAAGATCCAACCCCCGAAACTTCGGGTATATCAACTGTGACTGAAACGGTGGATAATGTCCACCATAATGTTCCTATAGAGCCTCAGTATCATGAACTGTTCCATACACATGCGCCATATCAGTGCACTGTGCACAGAGCATCTCTCGGGCTGCGTCATCACTTCATTATTAGAAAGTTGCTGGATTCCATTCTTAACTTGCGGCAGGAACTGAAGGACAGACGTGGCATTTCTTCTGTAATGCTGTCAAGGCGTGACGTGCCCTGCGAGAAGCTGCTTCGGGCAGGCAACACGACAGCACCACACCACCTGCGAGTGGTTTTACTCACTCAATGAAATAGATGGACAGACCGCACTACGATCCAGTGTGACCCCCGCTCGATCATCTCAGTAACTGACCGCAACACACGATATTGCGTCCGTCAGTAGCCAGACCCGCTCCAGGCAAAGTGGCGGCAGTGGATTTCTAACCACGGCCACTGAGAACGCAACGTTTGCTTCATCAGACAAAATTCTAGCACCCTCTAACCTACACACTAGTCGAGCGTAAGCGGGGGTGACAATTTTAGTGTGGAAATATAAATGGCTGCTGTTAACCTTAGTGGTCAGTTCATGGGCTCGGAGAGGCGGACAGGACAACAGAAACGACAATTTTATGACAAGAGACGCTACTGGACACGGCAGTAGACCATAACACGAAAACAGCCAAAAGAATCTTCGTTCTGTCTCCTACACAAAATATCGTCTTCAGCAAATATAGGTTAGGTCCTCTTGCAAGTTGGAGAATCGTCACATGACAACACAACACATAAACACGTAGACAACCAAACATGTCCCCGAACTGATTCCAGTAGTCAGAGCACGGCCAGCCTATCGCCACATGCGCGTGCGCACACGCCTCAGTAGCCATCTTACTTCTAGTAAATAACAACGGGAATGCAAATGGCGACAGGCTACGCGATGTTCACGTGCGTCTGTGTGGCGTCCTAATGAAGTACTTATTTAAACCGACCTGTTCCCACGCAGCCACACGAGCGAGCGATCGTTCGCAACGGCGCGTTACAAACGATCGTGCAAAAGGGGCCCTACTGCAGACATTATACAGGACCACTGTTCCTGTCGTTTCGAGCGCTCACTACAGCAAACCCTCGCTAATCCTCAGTAAATTGTGGGAGGTAATCCGGATTAATGAAACAAAAGATAGCCCTAAAAGACAAAAAAAAAAACGTAAAAAACAAATAAATGGAGAATGTAATATTGTAGGTAGTGCTGATGAAAATACATATTAAAATGCCACTGCAGCAATTTCTTCCTCTGTGAGAAGCTGAAATCGAGGGTCTCCTTCAACCAGCTGAAGATAATCTTGGATATTTTCCTGCGCGGTTTCAGTCTCTCTAGCTGCCCTCAACTCAGCCTGAAAGTCCTCTCGCTCTAACCCCCTTGCTCCTAAATTTCGCGTGTCTTTTAAACTATGTACTCAGCTGTGAACAGAATTCTTCATATTTCAACCCGGATTAGCGAGGGTTCACTGTAATTACATTTTTGAAGAAGCATATTTAGCCAATCACGGTGGTCGCGCGGTCTGAGGCATGAACTGTCTTCGCTCGCTCGAAATCTGGGATTGTGGGTTTGAATCCCTCTCAAGACATGAATGTCTGTGTGCAGGTTTGTTCTGCTTTTTGTGTTATCCTGTGTGCAGGTAGTGGCCTTGCGATGGGCCGATCCCCTGTCCAAGGAGTCCTACCGTCTGTGTAAAAGAGTTTACGAAACTGAAGAAGAGGCCAGGCCCAACAGCCATTGATGAATGAATGAGATGCACACGCAGCAGCCTACAGGACGGTCTACATGGCTACTGCTACGCTGTGCAGGCCTGCGTCTAGCCGCTTCTGAGGGAGAAAGAAACAACTTCATGCAAAGTTTAGTTCCGTCACACCGAAACAACTAATTTCGCCGAACTACATTTCGTGTACATTCTGAAAGCCAGAGTTTGTGGAAATCAATCCATAACAACTTCGGCAGACAGAAAGGCGAGCGGATACCTACATATAGACATGACATCGGCTTCTGCGGGTCTTCATAGGGACCATCCGCCACAATCGCGAAAGTCTTCCCCACTCTTATCCTGCACTGGGTTGCATTTCGCAGCAGATATCCAGACAAGACTACGTAACAGGTCGCATACCGTAACGCTCAGTATGACCAGTGAAGTCCTCTCAGTTACAGACCGATACAGCTGGGCGTGAAGTCTATCGGCGTGCTCTTGCAAAGCAGACTGCAGGGGCCACGTTTCTGGCAGTTTTAAAACACCGAGAGAAATAAAAATTGTAAAAAAGTAAAGCTATCCCTGTACCAGGCCGTGAAGGTCCACAGGGTTGTGAGGCGTTGAGGCTCCCACATTATCTAGACAATCGGCTCAAAGATGGCAGTAAGGTTGTCAGCCTTATGCGCCGGCCGCGCTTTACTCCCCAGGAAAATTAATTAATTAATTCCTGGTACTCATTTCTGTTAGAGGCTGAGTAAATCGCAGGACCTAGTGCGGCTGGAAGGATCAGGTCAACTGAAAAAATCCAATGACATCATCGGGACTTGAACCCGCGACCTTCCGGCTTGTAGCGTAGCCTCTCAACCACTACGCTACCGCGTAAATAAAAATTGTAACGTAACTTAAACTTAACTGTGAGAAAGACGTAAGCAAAAATAAGTACACACGACGAGGCACGAAAGTTTTAGGAAAAGCGTGCAAACAACAGACTAACGTTATGTAGCGCTGCCGCCATATTCTGAAACAGAAACTGTTGATGAATTGCGAGTCTTCCGAGTCTACAGCTATCGACATTAATACAGAATGCAGCCGATCCCCTTCCAAAGGCTATATGCTAACATTTCCAGGAGTCTTGGGAAGTGATGACGGAAAACAGAAGAAGCCATATTAAAAACGGAAAACTTAATGCCGTAATTTTAATTTGCCGAGATATGGCGAAATTTTATGAATAATGGGAAAAACGTCCGGATTCCGGAAGCAGCGTCATCAGCAGCGACTTGAAGCACAGAGCAAATGATGCTCGAGATGGTTCAGGTTCGTATAGCAACAGGCGTGACCAGAGTGGTTTGAACGGCTGTTGTACTGCGATGTGGAAAGCAAATGGGAAAACTACCACATTATCACTTTTAATGGATAGTCTCTTTCCAAAAACAGAGATACCATGTATGCGAGAGAGGGGCGGATAGAAGTGACCAGAAGATGAGGAAGAAGACGTAAGAAGATGCTGGATGATTTTGGGGACAGAAGAGGATATTCTCATTTGAAGGAGAAAGCTCTAGATCGCATCAAGTGGAGGAACTGTTTTGGAAGAGACTGTGGACGTGTCGTCTGACAGATTACTGATGAATGAATGAATTAAACAGAATTTGAGGCCCTTAATTCTGAATTTTTGGTATCTCCGGGTGGAGAACGAGGCGTGGTCCACATCATCAGGAGTGGGGTCGTTTTGAGAGTAGCAGCGCTGAAGCTGGCAGCTTTGAATGTTGCACAATCCTGAAGAGAGACAGGCGGAAGGTATCTAAGGAAACAGACCTTGATGCCACTGCGCTAACACGCCCATTCGTTTATTCCATCCAGTCTGTGTCGAGGGCACGCACAAATCCCTGAGTCCCTTGAAACGAAGATCGTCCGAAAGGGGCCTCTCCACACGTGAACCCCGTACGGGGTGCATTTGCATTGAAACTTTCTGGGCGGCCGTTCGAAGACAAACCGGCCCCTGCATTTCGCTTAGAATCCACTGACGAACACCGCCATCCTCCTTCTATGTCCTTACGCAAACATTCGTTATCATCTTCTCATCGCTATAGAAATATACGATAACACCATAGTTATAGTCGGTTTCTGTAACCTCAACATCCTCCACCTTCTGTTTTACACAGAATCACGAGGTTTCGCAGGCTTACTGTACTTCAATCTTCACGCTGGAAGCTGGCCTGACCTGACGCGCCCGTTGGAATGGGCCAGTCCCAATCACTGCATCAGTGACGTGGTTAAATAGCTCAAGAAACAACCTCAACAGCCGCTTCGGCTTCACTACTCCATACCCCAGAGTTCCGATGTGACCTTTCGGCCGAACAACACCTTCGTGTGAACAAAAAGTGCCGCGCAAATAAATGAGATTGTGGCTACTGGCTGCATGCTACTAGCCGTTCTAAACACATCATGCCTCTTGTACGTTTATGTAGCTACTGGCTGCATGCTACTAGCCGTTCTAAACACATCATGCCTCTTGTACGTTCATGTAGCTACTGGCTGCATGCTACTAGCCGTTCTAAACACATCATGCCTCTTGTACGTTCATGTAGCTACTGGCTGCATGCTACTAGCCGTTCTAAACACATCATGCCTCTTGTACGTTCATGTAGCTACTGGCTGCATGCTACTAGCCGTTCTAAACACATCATGCCTCTTGTACGTTCATGTAGCTACTGGCTGCATGCTACTAGCCGTTCTAAACACATCATGCCTCTTGTACGTTCATGTAGCTACTGGCTGCATGCTACTAGCCGTTCTAAACACATCATGCCTCTTGTACGTTCATGTAGCTACTGGCTGCATGCTACTAGCCGTTCTAAACACATCATGCCTCTTGTACGTTAATGTGGCTACTGGCTGCCTGCTACTACCCGTTCTAAACACATCATGCCTCGTACGTTAATGTGGTTACTGGCTGCCTGCTACTACCGGTTCTAAACACATCATGCCTCGTACGTTAATGTGGCTACTGGCTGCATGCTACTAGCCGTTCTGAACACATCATGCCTCTCGTGCATTACTGCTTAGCCTGGAGATGAAGGCACGACGGTATAACTATTTCCTCTGACGTCATGATGTTCTATTTCCAAAACTAGTTTGCGCGAAGAGTGTGAATGCACATTTGGGCGGCGGGGGAGGAAACAGTGCATGTCCACATGTTTCCGTCGCTGAAAATATTACACTCAACGGATTTCGATAAAATCTGGTATCGCGGTTCAAACTACAATTTTGCTTTAGTCAAGTACTTTAGTACTTCAATTAAGAGGAAGTTCAACTCTGACCTCAGTGTCACTATGCCGACACACGTCACAAGGTACGCTCTAATCTATGCTGTCATATTGCAGTGTCTGACCACCACCACTCCACGGCGCTGTACTCGCACCACCATCAGGCAGCCATGTTGCAGGGAGCCATGGGTGGGCCCACGGGGGAGGGACGCGCCTCCAGCACATCAAGTTACACGGCCATTGGTGCCAGTGCGTACCCTCCGGCCGGGCCGATCCTGTCCTCGCAGGTAAGTGAAGGACATCGCCCCCCCCCATTGCAAACAGGCGGCATTTTGGTCCTGTGTACTCAGTGCATGAAACCAGTGATTCCTGTCACCAGGATGGCGGCAGCGTACTGGGCATGCGTCGCCATGTCTGCAATGCCTAAACCTTCATGACGAATCGCTTCTCGTAGAAGCGCAAGGCACTGGGTTCGGATCCGGAATGTAATGACCAGAGGACATGAGATGCGTCTGTCTTCACACTGTAAAACCCGACATCCATCCTCGCAATATATACAAACATCAGTCCGAACCTCACAGAGAGCACTGCGTCTTCGTGACAAAGACCAACCGGTTAACCCTTTCAAGACTCAGTCTGAGTCAGAGTCAGAGTTAAAGAAGAGTTACTTCACGACTGGAGCTTTAGCACCAATCAGTTTGTCTTGGCGTCAACTCCTCGAGACCCACGACCAGAAATTTTTTCTCAACTAAACTCTTGCGGTAATAGTCCTTAGGTAACATTATCTCTGACGAGAAGATGGGGCTGTCTCTTATGAATATTCATATAGCACATGTAGCATGTTACTGAAAATGCCTCCTTGTGCACTACACACAAGTCCCCTGTCAGTACAGGCTTTGGAAAGTAGGTCGTGCCTATCTTAGTTATTGTATGTTACAACGGCAGCTTAGTCATTTGAACGGTCGTAAGCTTGACCACCGCCAAGTTTAAGCATTTTCATCTTCAATGCATCTACTTATCCACTATTTATTTACTCTGTATCAGTGCATTCATATTGTAGCATCTTACAGTCGGTATTTTTTCTAAATACCTCACAGGAAACATTACGTCTCCACTACAAAGCCCAACAGGTTAATGCTGTTTAGGGAAACAGTCGCTGTTTATTGTGAGAACCATACGGAACACACAGATACACTCTGTGGGCAGAATGCAGAGTATGTACTATGTTAGAGCAGGTGGTACATATACTAACCACTAGGCTTTAACGGGATAATGATGTTTACGGAAATAACCGCTGTTCTGTTAGAATCATATCAGATGAGCGAAATGCAGACCTACGAGTATAGTGCTAAAGCGAGCGGCACTGCGGCCAAGAGCGAACGAACAGCTGTCGGTTCTCTCAGCGGCGACTGCGAGATGTGTCAGGTAGACCAGCGTTTCTCAACCTGTGGTCCGCGATGATGTGACAGGTGGTCCGAAGGCAGACTTAAATTAAATTAAATTCAATTAAAAATTATCCAACCAAAACAAATTAAAATTAAATAAGCAAGTAAAAATTCATTATATCATATTCTTTATTTCTTTAATAAAACTTGAAACTTTGTTCAATGATGATTCACTCCTAATAGTTTACTTCTAATTTAATTAATTATGTTTCCGTATGTATTCAAAACATGTTTTTAGATTTATTATGCTACAAATGGCACAGTATGTCCCAAATTTTGGTAATACCACATAGGTTTAAAAAATAGGCCTACACAACCCAGCGGTCGGTAGAGTTTTTTCAGACATTTTACTGGTACTTGGGCTTATAAAGGTTGAGAAACACTGAGGTAGACCATTACCAACGCTTCGAAAAAATCCGCCTCCGTCTTCAGGCTAGAAGAGAAGATGCACATCGCAGATTTATCCAAAACGTTTATAGCAATCTATCAGTCTATACGGCGTCACATCCTAGACGATAGTAATTTTTACTCTGTTAGGCTGCACATTTCGCAGCATATCTGGCTTTCTGGTGTAAATCATACAGGACGGAAGATGTAGAGTGGAGTGGAGTTATAGCTCCAAGTATTTTTAACATCAGCACTATATGAGGGTAAATGGTCAGCTTAGCCCCGCCCACTTCGCCCACGGGGGCAGAACCATATATATTCAATTGATCGGACGCTTAGTGGACTGTAGGGCCGATCTAGATGCTGTGGAGAAGAGAAATATCTCAGCCTCTGTCGGGAATCGAATCCCGCCTGGTCGCGTAGACCACAGGGACTGAGCTATCCCGTCTCCTGCACGATATATCGAAGTATCGCAGTAAATTTCGTGACTCTCAATATCGAACGAGCGAAAGGAAGCCCAGTGCAGGTTCCGGTCACGGAACCTTGACGTCACGTGCGCGTCAGAGCGTAGCGCCTTCACACCTTTCCGCACAACTTGGCGCGCTTTCTCTGCGCGGTCCGACTCACAAATAACCGTTACGTGATACAGCGTGTGAACTAGGTGCGTCGCGAGAAAATCATCTAACATGAAGTGGCTGTCGCCTCGGGAGGCAGCCGTCGGAATGGTGGCAAGCCGAGAATGGGCTTATGTTGAATAAGCAGTGGTGGATGGACAACAACGGGTGATCCTCCAGTTTGTGCGATCGAGAGGGTCTAGCATACAGAAGATTGAGGCAGAAGGTTCCTCTGGAACACTGGTAACGATCTTCCAGACTACATGTCGTTAAATCCCGAAAGACAATTATGTTCATGGGAATTAACCTTCGGATTCCATAAGAGAGCGGAATTTGTTGTCCGAGCGCCACTGCACATGTCTGGGCGCAGAAGGACACGTGATCCAGGACACTGGCAGAGAAGCTGTGCAGGGTGTCGCTTTACTGCACGGTCAGCAGGCTCAGATGAACGGAGAACTGGAAAGGATCTGGAAGGAAGCAGTCGTGGTCCAATAGAGGCACTACTTCGGCATTTACCTGGATGGACTGAGGGAAACTATGAAATCGTCAGTCATATGTAAGCCGGTGTCTGTGCCCAGCATCTCCCTGATACGAGTTTACAGCCTTACCGCTACGCCAACCCGCTCGATAATATTTTGGTATGGAGGCGGTCTTAATAGACGTCATTCACATTGATCTTACCTAACATGGCGGTCAAGTGGTTGTCCTGCTTTCAAATCCCAGCCGGATCACTGAGCAACCTGATATATATATTTTCATGGCTTTCTTCGGTGTCTCCAGTTAGGCCGTGAATGCTTCCTGCCGCAACTTTTCCAATTCAATATTCACTGAACTGTATAAAACGTATTTGAAGGTACGTCATCATAAGAGGATTAGTAGATTATATCTTCTGCATGCCATGGGAAAGAAAACTGCCGTAGCTGAGATCTCGCTGGACATACAGGCCTTGTGTAAGTTATCAATTTTATATATGACTTACCCGAACACATTATTTAGAAAAAGAATAATCTCACCATCCGACGCTATGCAGCCTTAATCCTGACAGTGCCGTAAAATACCACTAACCCGCAAATCCAAAATAAAAACTCGCTACAAACTCACTTGCAACATAAAACTTGTGTTTCAGATATCGGCCACCAGTGCGCATCACTCCGGAAGCCAACACCACCTCAACCAGTCACCCCCGCCATCTGGTGGGAGCGGTATGAACTATCAGACTTCACATCAGCTTCCCCCCCCACCTTCCAGCTTGGCCATTATGGGAACCGTGGCTCCAACTTCGACAGGTTCGCGTCATTAGCAATCTTTGTTGCCAGCGGAACCGTCTGCGTTCCTCACGAGGTGGCTCAGAAAGTAAACAGAAAACTCTGCAGATATCTTCGTGCCTGCTCACCAAAATACATGGTGTGGCATGACATGAAGATATTCGATATATTTTCTATGGCAATGTGGGAAAGTTAAAATGTTGGGAAATACAAACAAAGCAAAACCTGAATTCACGAAGAAATATGAAGAATATTAAATACGATGAATGCTTGCTACAATTCCGTTCCGAATCTTATGTCTTGTCCTGTGCTAATTAAAAAACAGTGTACAACACACAGTAATACAATTTTGTCTGTTGCTTTGTATGGTTATCAAACTTGGTCTCTCACCTTCGAGACAGAACACAGATGGATTCACGCAAATACACCGAGCATTTGAAGAATTCTAAACCAAGAACCCCATAATGTAGGTGAAGGGAACATACATTTTTGCTAATGAAAATATCTAGAACAACACCCACCTATGTGTGCCATTCAGACTTCTTTAGGGGGTACCAGTCAATTTTTTCAAAGGCAAGGGTGCCGAGATAATATCCTTACAAACTTATATTTAAGCTCTTTATGACTGTAAGATCTAAAAGTTTGTGATGATGGTAAATTGTTACACTTATTATTATTTTGCTGGACATTATCCATCATCTTGTCTATTCTAAAAAACAGTCTAGTTTCTATTAAAAACACAACGTTTCGAGAACTGGAATCTGTCCCCATCTTCAGGTAAAACCCACTCAGTTGGGTCCAATAGACAGAGCTAGCCCCTATCTCCGGACAACTATGCCAATTTCCGAAGGGATTCATAAAAGAAGCACAACTTGATCCATCTGTGAGAGCTAAGAGATATAGAAGCTATCATAATTTGAGGCTAGGCACCAGAGAAAAATATCTAGAATGAAATCATACCGGGAGAGAAGCAATACTCCTTGTGGTATACCAGCACAACAAAATCATCTGAGGGAGCTAAGAAATATTGAAGATATCCTAATTTGAGGCTTAGCACCAGAGAAATATCGTGAATGAAATCATACCGGAAGAGAAGCAATACTCCTTGTGGTACCAACATATGAAACAAATAGTTACCCAAACCAACTACACTTGACGTCGCTGTAGTCTCTTGATTTCTGCTGTAATGACAGGGGCCCAGATGGGAGAGATATCCACATGCTTCTCTTCCGGTATGATTTCATTCACGATATTTCTCTGGTGCTAAGCCTCAAATTAGGATATCTTCAATATTTCTTAGCTCCCTCAGATGATTTTGTTGTGCTGGTATACCACAAGGAGTATTGCTTCTCTCCCGGTATGATTTCATTCTAGATATTTTTCTCTGGTGCCTAGCCTCAAATTATGATAGCTTCTATATCTCTTAGCTCTCACAGATGGATCAAGTTGTGCTTCTTTTATGAATCCCTTCGGAAATTGGCATAGTTGTCCGGAGATAGGGGCTAGCTCTGTCTATTGGACCCAACTGAGTAGGTTTTACCTGAAGACGGGGACAGATTCCAGTTCTCGGAACGTTGTGTTTTTAATAGAAACTAGACCGTTTTTTAGAATAGACAAGATGATGGATAATGTCCAGCAAAATAATAATAAGTGTAACTATTTATGACTGCTTTTACTTATCTTCTTACAGTGTTTCAGATAGAAGGATTTTTTTTTAAAAATAGTTTTGAGTGCTAGTATTCATATATGATACACTTATTTATTTTCCAAATTCTTGTTTTTCCAGAAATTCAGGGGAGAGGGCAGATGCCCAGCTTGCCCCCTTCCTCTCTTGTCAGCACTTATGCCCAAATCATCTCCTGTGTTACAGCACATCAGACAGCACCAAACACACTGTAGGATTAAAATGAACCACATGCTAGGAGTGGCTACTTTTGCTGCAGAATTGCCAACAAACCATAGTCACACAGCATAATACTAAAACCACATCTGAAAAGTTCTTAAATATGAAACTAAAAATTACAGTATTAAGAATTTTAACATATGACATCACCGCAAAAACTGAAGACAATTGTATCCCCTTGTATTTTGTTAAATATATATATTCTCCGCATTAAATACACTTGTATTTCGTATGGAAGTTATGCAGCTTAGGTAGATCTTCGATGCTATACATCCTTGATACTGACAGCACTGTTAAATAATAATCCTTAAAAAGAGAAAATGTACATGTTTTATGTATTTATCCAATGAGCTGTTTTGAAGAAAGTGGGTGAGCTTGTTGTAACATAATGCTCATATCAGAGTGATTAACACAGAAGCTCACATTTCATATTTTAACTTATATAACGTTTAATTGAAATCCAACCAGTAGCTTCAGAGTTGTGCATTACCATCTCCACAGTACTATTATTCCCACGAAATAGTGATGTGTAATGTGCTGAAGTTGTGGCCGCTATGCTGGGTTACAGTTACATGCTAATGATGGTTCCCAGGTGATGCTGACCATGTAGTCCCTCCAACATCTGACATGGGGCCCAGCACCACGTGGCCGCCAATGACTACAACGCCTGCATCCACTCAGCCACACCATCACCACCGGAACATGGCCACACCACCTCCTGCCAGCCTGATGAACTCGAACCACACAAGTACAGCTGCCGGAATAACGAGCTTCAGTCATCAATCTGGGTTCATGCCCCAGAGCAGGCCCCACCATCACCAGCCCTTCTACTCCTGGTACTAGGCTGCTGACAATGTAGGGTGAAGGCAGTTTGGCTGAGGGGTGGCTTGCTCCCTCACATTACCTCCATCACACCTCTGTTGCCGCATCTGTTTGTTAAAGGTTCGTGACAATGGCAAACTCATCATACAAACTGCAGTAAAAACATAAACTATCTCGACACTATACGGTCTGACTTACTGCCAGTGTCGTTAAATAAAAACAATATAAACCGCATAATTAACTCATATTATCTAGTATAAAAGGAGATAAGTCCCTGCAGATGCAAGATATGTTTATGTGGTTGCATTATTAATACAAGAAGGACATCTATGTACAGAGTATGTGAACAGGAAAACATAGAATGAATTAATATGGGAATACCAACTTAGAGTATGTTGCATAAAGCAGCCAACAGGTGGCATGCTCACTTGATTAGCATACAGTAAAACAAACAAACATGACTGAAGTATATTCCAGTAATATCATCTTTATTGGCTGTATAATGCATCACTATAATGGTGCACAGTCCACGGGTGCATCATTTCAATAAAATAGTGTAATACAGTTACTTTGAATTAAAATGTGGCCATCAGCTCTGAGGTAGGAAGCCAGTTGTTTCCTGAGCAATAAAGGTTAACATGATGGTCAAGAATGCAAAAGCATGGCTGACTCTCTTTTCCAGTGCCCCAGTGACTGTAAAGTGCTATTTTCTTTATGGTCCACACAAGAAAGGCCAACAATCAGACAGTCTGAATCCATTTCACATGACCAGCAATCAATTATATTGCTGATTTTAAACGAATTTCATCACTTCTTTATAATACTGAAGACATAAGGTTTAACTAATGTATAGCCCATCTGAACACACCCCTGACATAAGCAATCAACATGCCAGAACTTTTTGACATGTTATAACAGAAAACTGAATCATTATGACTAACATGCTAAAGGGCAGTACTCCACACAACCAGGCAACATTAGGTGTTCCTTGTTATGTAGTGAACAACAAAAATGAAAAATGAAACTGTAAAACTATATCTGTGTGTGTGTGTGTGTCAGAGCAGTATTGTTCACATCTTTATAACAAACGGTGTTCTGGTTGAACAGATTGTCAGGAAGCATTTTAGATGAAAATCCATTTGAAATATATGAGGCAACAATTAAGCAGACTAAAAGAAGATCAAGTTAAGATGAAATAAATATTTGTGATTTGAAATTATCATGGAACTGACAATGGAGGTTACTGCCTTCTGGGATGTGTTGCCATGCAGCCTGGTACATAGGCACCAAGAGACCGTAGGGACATGCAGCTTCCATATTTTGGTAGCAGACTAAGCCAAGCACAGAAAAAAGTGGTATGAATATAAGCAGAGGTAGAGGCAGGGAGAGGACCAGGGCTGCCAGTGAACCAGTCAGAGTAGGGAAGAGTGTCTGGCCCTTGGGATGGTGCCACTGGCTCGCTTGCAGCCCTGTTTCTATTTTTCTTTTCCTCTATGTATGTTCCCTCATTTTCATATGTACATTATGAAAATGCAGGCAGTAGGTCCTACTCCAATTTCTGCTGGACTACATGGCATCACACACCAGAAACCAATAACATTACTTTTGGACCAGGATGGTAAGAAGGCTTATTTTGTAAGTTGCTCAGGGCAGTAAGACAAAGCCTTTCAGCAAAATTTTTGCTAACATGTCTTACAGTCATTAAATTTTTAGCTTTGTGTTTGATGTGAGATGTTTTGCAGTCCTTTGTTCTCAACTGAAGGCAATGCAGCACTTCTGAACAGACTTGACACGCATATTTTCAGACATTAAGAAACACGACATGCTTCCAGAAGCTTGGTGAGTCATTTAACAACCACTGCAGATAATATAGTTAATGTTATGTCCAAAAATATTCTGTACTACTTCTCTCTCTCTCTAGTTATTCTTGCCTGAGAGCTGCTGAAAATATATGTGGCTTTCACTCAGTAGAATTTCCTGCTACAAAACAGGGGTCCTAATTGTGCCACTCCATCAGCAAATTAACTGCAACAACTAACACAGAAGAGTGTGGGGCTATAGTATGTGAAGCAAGCACCCCTGACCCTAGTTCAGTGATTCCAAAAGTGTGGTACATGGACATTGCCAAACAGTGCAACAAGCTTCTTGTTTTGTGTGCCAGTATTACCTTGTGGCAAGTTCGGCAAGAGGAAAACAACAAGATAGATAGTGGTGCCTTATATTTTTGTTTCATAAAGTGTTGTTCCTTTATACCAGTTCTGGTTCCATGTTTATGCTAAATTACATTCTTTGCTGAAGGCAAAATGATTTCTGAAACCAAAGTTTTATAAGCATGGTGGCAGAAGAGGCCAAATGGTAATATGAGAAGAGAGACTCAATATGTTAGTATGAAATTTGAGATATATGGGTTTTCTTCATGGAATAATGAAGTTTGTGAACTGCTGTAGCATTGATTCTAAGCCAACTGAGATGTGGGCTGTGGTAGATCACCACAATAAGTGCCTTATACAGTGACACACAGAATTTGTAAATAATGACAGGACCACACATCCACTTCACAGCTGGCAATTTTAATACTGTCCTCTTCCCACACACAGTGCCCACCAAAAATTTCACATTTGTCTCTTGTTTACCCATCCTTTAGTTAATCCCGAACATGTCATAACCTCCTATGCTTAATTATCCTAACAATGAGATATGAGTAAAACCACAAACATCCTTCGCCTCTGGTTTCCATTTCCCACTGTTCACATCTCGTATGTAGAAGTATACACAATTTTCTTGGCACTTTACTTAAAACATATTTCTCCTTTTGAGAAATAGATAAGAAGTTTCAGCCACACAAAGGAACAGCAAAACAAATAAAAAAAAGTAAAGCTATCCCTGTAACAGGCCATAAAGGCCCATAGCATTATGAGACATTGAGGGTCCCACATTATCCAGACAGTCGGCTCAAAGATGGCGGTAAAGTTGTCAGCCTTACACGCTGGCCGCTCTTCACTCCCCAGGAAAATTATTTTAATTCCTGGTACTCATTTCTGTTAGGGGCTGAGTTGACCCCAGGGCCGTAATGTGTCTGGAAAGATCAGGTCAATTGAAAAAATCCAATGACCTTATCAGGATTTGAACCTGCAACCTTCCGGCTTGTAGCATAGTGCCTCAACCAACTACGCTACTGTGTGCCTCCAGCAAAACAAATATTGTATACAATTTCATCTTCAGTGTTTTGGAAGTAAGACAAGAGTAATAACAATCTCTGAACTAAATAATAAGTAGAATTTCCACCTGAATGTTGCAGCTCACTGGATATCACTCCTGCTTCATGGATGGCAAGGTTCAAATCTCAACCCAGAGACCAGCTATCCTGACATTGATTATTATTGTTTTCCTCAGTCTCTCCAACTGAATATTGGTTACTGCTCATATTAGGCTATGATCCCATAATTTCACACCTTTCCCTATATACCATTCACTAAGCATTGTGGCACTTGATGCAATATAATCTGGGATAATAAAATGTTAAATAAATCATAAAACAATAAAATAAGGATCTGCAGATTATACAGTATGCTCCACTGCACAATGGCCAGATGTCAGGAGCATATTCTACAGGTCATCTAAAGACAATGTTTCCTATAGAAAACAGCTTGACATCATTATGAGTATAATCAAGTTACAGGCAATGCAATGTAGCCTGTCAGCACCACTAAAATGCACTTCTTGATTCGATTGTTGTGCTTGACTTGTGCAACTGTCTCACATTATTCAAAAGCGTTAGTCAAATGTCTTTCACATCTACACATAAGCTATACAAAGATATCAACATTGTATACAGATACTGTAATGGTGGAATATCAGCAGTGCTTTCCAAATTCTGGAAATCCACATTGAAATATTTTAAAATGTACACAGAATTTTGGCACACACTTTCCTTCCCATGAGGAAATGCAATATGTGTGATGGGAAGGGAAGGTGATGTACTCAGTGCTGTGTGATGAAGCACATGTATCAGTGATGCAGATGTTCCACAGAGATTGGTGTTCCATGATCATGGCCTCTACCCCTTCTGCATCACCAACTGTGTGTGTACAATTCTGCAGATGGTTGGAAGGACAACTGCAGCTTATGAGCTTATTTTGATCATAAATGAGGCTCATTCCACCATGATAATATCATAAAGACAAGAAATTTGCACTCTCAGTCACATGACTGTCCATGTGAGCTTGTGTAAAGCAACCTTCAACACAGAGTTGCAATAAACATATGGCATGGAACACTGGAGGGCACACGGTAGTGTAGTTGGTTGAGGGGCTATGCTACAAGCTGGAAGGTTGTGGGTTCAAGTCCCAGTGAGGTCACTGGATTTTTTCAGTTGACCCAATCTTTCCAGCCGCACTAGGCCCTGGGATTTACTCAGCCTCTAACAGAAATGAGTACCAGGAATTAATTAAATCATTTTCCTGAGGAGCAAAGTGTGGCCGGCGCATAAGGCTGACAACCTTACCTCCATCTTTGAGCCGATTGTCTAGATAGTGTGGGACCCTCAACATCTCACAATCTTGCGGGCCTTCACGGCCTGGTACAGGGATAGCTTTACTTTACATCACATGGAACACTGGACATTCATCCCTGTGGCCCACATTTAATTAAGGGATGTGTAATGCTGTTTCTTACAGACATTATATGGAGAATGAATTATAGCTTTTTTTATGAATCGTTCCTCTTCAAGCAAAAAAGACAAATGCAAATATAACACAATGGAGTGCCTGTATATTTTGTTACAATGGATACAGAGTGCTTGAATGCAGATCAGGGAAGTTTGATAGGAGAAGTACCATAGCCAGCTTGGTCATCAGACTTCATCCCATTATATTTCATTTCATGTGAATGTATAAGGTCGAAGGTGCACCATACAGCAACTTGGAAACAAGACAGCGGTTACTACAGTACATAAACTGAGCCAATCATGCAATAAACAAAATGGAAATGCATTAGATATGCAATAATCAGCCAAAAGTATTTCAAAAACTGAATTTAATTTTGAATACTGAAGCTTATGGTAATTTAGTTAGAGAAGTGTATAACATATTAACATGGAACTGCAAGAAAATATTCAGAAATATAATAAATTAAATGGAAATATTAGAAGATGTGTTCAGAAAGATATTAGACCAAAATACAATTAGGGATCCACAATGCATTTTTGAGAGCCAGTAGTAATGTGTGGTGGCGAGACATGGGTGCCAAGAAACAGACATAAACATCCCAAAATGAGGTGTCTAAGTTTGGTGCTTGCAGTTATGCTGGGGAGTAAAATGAGAGGTAAGGCTATATAAGAACACCTAGAAACAGAAAACACAGGACAAAACGTATGTCCTACAAAAGAAACTGGAAAAGGTTGACCCCTAAATGTTTACCATGAGAGGTATACCAATAAAATTCACTTAAGAAGACACAGGATGACCTAGGAACAGGACATGTACCCAATCCTTGCTATTGCTGGAGGAGGAGGATGAAAAGAAGAAGAAGAAGTAGTTAGGAACCATGGAATTGCAAATCTTAACTTAGTAACAAAATAATTCAAAAGAACGTTAACTTCGAATTCCATACTCCACAATATTAGTACTTAAATCAGTAACGGTGATAATTTAAATACTGTAGACTTTGAGCTGAAATATTGCTTGCAGGTTATGTTTTGCTTTAAATGGCCAGTAGATTTCCATTGTGTGGTGGGACACAATCAGCAATGTAAAGTGAATGGATCTCAAGCTTCCTGTCCCATACATCAGTGGGGTGTGTGCCTGTCTGACACCAGCTGGTAGTTATTTAAGTAGCATGTTCTCACTGTAGAGTAGACCGGCACTGGGAGTGTATCACAATCACCAAATAAAGTTATTTATGGCATCTCTCGTTTCTGTCTGTCCAGCACTATCAGCTATGAAATGCACCACTCCTAGTTCATGACATCACTTGGTCCAGCAGTGACACTTGCTAGTGAAACATTGCCATGTGCAACAACTGGGCCCCAAGTAGTGTTACATTGCTATATGAGGCCATTGGGTCCTGAAGTAGTGACATTTCTGTGCGAGGGCACTGGGTCCTCATGTACTGAAACATTGCCATGTGAGAGAACTTGAAAGCAGAAGGAAATACACTAAATATTAAGGCCAAAAATTGAAAGCATTTAAAACAATATCTTACACTGAATACTCTAGGGCAATGCTTCTCAACCAGTAGTGGGGCCCTTGCATCAATTATACTGGGCCGCGAGAGGCTCTTCTGGAATTTGTCATTTTCATTTTCTAAGCATTTTTCATGAATAAATATTTTATAGTGGAAATATTCTGAGGAGAACAATATTTGTGTCGAGAAGCTCAGACACAGAACACTTAAATCTGTGTAGCAAATGTCAGTGACCAAGCCGCATATTTTTAAACATGGGAGTATTCATGAATGATCGAGAATTTTCAGACATCCAAATCTTTCAACATTCGGGAAAGGCAATAACGATGTTTATGACCAGTCATAAAAATTGCCTGCAAGCCGAGTATAACAATGGGCAGCATATCCTCTGTTCTCAGAACTGAGCGAAATAACATCTGTGTTGCAAATGTCAGTGACGAATGACCATGTTTGTCAACATGCCACACCGTGTACTAATAATCTTTATGATTATGTTATAATTAATTACTAATATTATGTTAGCCTAATGCATGAACCTTAACAAAACTGGAAAGGTATTTACGAGTAAATTTGTTGGACTGGGCCCTCGTCTTATAAAAAAAGAACTTACTGGGCCGCGGTCTCATAAAGGTTGAGAAGCACTGCTCTAGGGCCATCAGTATAAGGAGTCTTAGACAGCTTAAATATAAGTTTGTATGGAACTTTTCTGTCCCTCCCCCCGGGAGAGTTCTGGCCTCACGTAAGGCTGTGAGGTCTCAAAGACAGACTCGGAAGTTCTTCTCATCCACACACACACGAATGGACCTCGCAGTCTCTTCAGTCTGGATGCGTCCATCTGTTCGTGTCAAAAACTAACAGAACGCGGACAAGTGTAATTACAAAAGTTATTATTCCTACGAAGAATTTTACTGTTGCATGGGTTGGAATCCAAGTTAGTTTCTTTCCCCCATAAGCAAAGCACTGGGCCGTCTACGGCAAGAGGTAACTGTCGAACAGTGCTGGAAGCATGACACGGGGAATCCCAAGCATTCGGAAAAAATTCTGCCATGGAACTACCTTCGTCCAGCACCAATTACACATATGCTTCCAGGAATCGAAGGCAATCATCTTTCATGGGGGTAAATTTCTCTAGCCTTTCAATAACGTCCTGCACCCTCCTCTCCCCCCACCCAGTTGTGCTCTGAAAGCCACAAAAACGACAGTGTGGCTCCGAGAACCACGACAGAACAACACAAATTGCAGCAGACACGCTGGCTAGTAAATTATAATTTCGATCGCATAGAACCAAATAATGCAAGATTGGACATTATACGTGCACATATGTGGTCCCCAAAGCACAGCTTGTTCTGCCGTGAGAATAAACAATTCACATCGGTAATGCTGCGACGAAACGAAGATAAGAAGGATTCAGAGAAGTGGCCAATTTACAGACATACACGTATGAAGACAAAGCGGGTGAATTAGAAAGTGGAATCCTTCGAGACGAGGCTGATTAGAAGGCGTCGATGTCGCCTTGGCACGAGTCGAGTTGCGTAACATGCCACCCCTCAAAGTCTCGCAGTTTCATGACATGTGCCTGCCTTGTTTCGTGCTGCGACACTTCAAACTGGCCACGAAATTGGGTACGTTTTTTAGAGTTACCAGTTCCCCATAAACGGTTCTACAATGGAGGAACACATCGAGCCAGCTTTGAAGAATTATTAAAATGAACTGCGCCGACCCAACTGACTGGTGGAGCGGTAATGCTCTATACTCGTATACGGAGGTGCTCGATTCGAATCTAGACAGTGACATCAGCTGTTCTGATTGAGGTTTCGGTGAATTTCCTCCGTCCTTCCAGAGCAAATGCCGAGATGTTATCTCGTTTCGGCCACGGCCGCTTCCTTACAAATCCTTTCCAGTTCACCAGTCAACCCATCGCTCGGAGCCATAGTCTATATGCTAACATCATCGCAAAACAAACTACGAGAAAGGAATGAAGTGTGGAGCACATGCGGGCTGTCTAACTTCGTGGCGAATGCTGGGTGCCGCACTGCACGCTATGGTGCGTCACTGCCATGTCCGAAAAAAACGCGGGTCGAAACCAATGCATGCCTTCATTTCTAAAACCCGGCGCAACGTGCTTTGTCTCATTTAAGCAGAAATTTGATATATATAACATTTCGAAATTCAGTTCCTACCTCACAGAAAAAAGACTGAACCACTGAGCTGAGCACAACCCAGCTGATCGCTGCTCGATTTCCTATTGGTTACTCGCTTCGCTCACTCTCAAGCTCTCAAGATCGAAGCAGTAAGTTTCTCAGATACTCCGAAAAACTTCTACCAGATTACACGGCGATATATCCCAGCAGATATGTACTATTCATAAGCAGCGCTGTGAGAACCCCAAACAACCGATATGTGCTGTTGGAAAACCGGCTAGTTTCTTAACGTACAAGTAGCAGTCGAGGCTGATAGGGACAACTGCAACGTTAAGTTTAGTTCGTTATCATGCCTGTCTGCGCCTAACGGCTCCACGAACCTGTCAAAGTCACTTCACATGTTTCGACTAGATTAAAACAAACTGAACACACACAATCCTTGTTATTAAGAGAGCCACAGCGAACAACAGAGCGGGGAGAGGTAGGCAAAAGGTAAAGTCCCTGTGCTTAACTAATTTAGCACTACGTCATGAAGGTGTATGGGGAAGTGGGCATATAGGTCCACATATTTTTTACTTCGGTTCCAGTTGCAGGTGGGTGGTCAACTTCACGCCTCGGCCGCTTTGTCCCCCGATACCCCTAGGATAGGAGGCTGAGTGGGCCTCAGAACCGGTCTGGACGACGTGGAGAAGAGAAAATATCGTCCCTACCAGCACTCGAACTCCGACACCTCGAGCGGCCAGCCCGCAACCAGTTGCTATAGCGACTGCGCTATCCCGGCTCCTAGTGAAACGTACCAAAGCCCAAGGACCGAAAAGTGGTTTGGGATAGGAAACTATATTAACAATACAGACACCAAATGAATATAATAATATAATTGATTAGAAAAATACAAACTGCCCCAGATAAGGACGGCACAACGTACAAGCGTCCACCAACTCCGCCGTTAATTTAGTAAACCAAAATTCCAAAGAATAATTTGGGGTCGAGACCAGACTCTTCCACGGCGTGCAGCAGAATGGCCCTCCCGTGTTCAGACGAGCCTCTCAGTCCCTGGTGAAAGGATGAAGGGCGCAAGCGTAGGGCATGTGGAGAGGGGGGGAAGGAAAGAAGGGGGTCTGGTTGAGGGACCTGGCGGTGGTTGCTGCCGTTACACTAGAGACGCTGAACGCTTAGGTTCTCACAGTGCTGACTGTGACTATGCGATACATCGCCTTGTAGTTTGGTAGTATTTCACCAAATTTCCCGGGGAACACATTGTCTTCATCTTCAGACTGAAGAGTAATCCACGCAAGCGATTAAGATTACGACCGGCCCTGAAGCTGAAGGACGTACGTTCCTCTGAAACGACTGTGAAATTTTCCCTGACTTCACGGCGTCATATAGACGAAGAGATTTCTCTTCGTAATATTTTGTTTCGCTTACGTCAAACAAGTTTCTTGGGACATGGAAACGGCAGTGATGAAGCTGCCAAGCTAAAGAGAGAGATCTCGACGTTTCGGAAGAACATACAAGTACTGAAGAATGGGCCAAGTAAGAATCCCAAAGCAGGCGGTACTCTCCCGGCTGAACGGCGAGAACCCAAACTCTAACATACACTCTAAGAGGCCTAATTCTATAATAATGATGTAATGATCTAGGTCATTGCTTGATGATGACGCACGCTACAAGAAACTGCCGGTAGGCTACATTACAGTCCTACTTCAGGACTTCTAAAATGAAAATAGCTCAAAATTTCCTTAATGTCTAAGCGGCTTGACTGGCCGCGTGCAAGTTTAATGGTGCGCGAGACTGATTGCAGTCATGACGCAGAGCGAGACAAGTGAGCGCCGTTTCAGCGTGTTCAGGGTGATGTTCTACCTGACAGGCAACCCGATACTGACAGCCGCGACGTCCAGAGCGTACGTCATGTACTCGTTCGCCGTCGTGACGTGTGTCAGCATCACGTCCGTCACCATGGCCCTCGAGCCACTGATGAACCTCTCGGACTTGGAGCACTGCATGCAGAGCGCGCGCGTCGTTGTACCGATGCTCATCTGCATCTGGATACACGTCCTGAGGTAAAGCGGCCATATTGCACCATTTGCCTCTGTATCTTTAGTGGTACTCAGTATTGCCCCCATGCCACTTTTGATTCCGCATATAAAATGTCAGAGCTGAGATAGCACAGTCAGTGTGATGCCTAGGGTCTGGGTTGGACGAATGTGGAACCTGGGATCGGTTCCTAGCAGGAACAAGCGACTAGACCGGTAGCTCTGGGGCCCATCTAGCCTCATATTCACTTTCCAGTGCCGAGGCGAGGAATGGGTGGAGCTACATCTCCATTCGTTCCTGTGTCTTCAGAGCATGGTGTTTAATTAACTAGAATACCCCTCAATTACCCACTCATGGAGCTGGGCCCTTCTTGAGAGGCCAATTGTACAGCTACTCAAGAACTCCCCAGCATTTTATATAACCCGAAGGTTCATTACGACGTTCGTAAGAGTCCTCCACTGGTCCCTATCCTGAGCCAGATCAATCCATTTTATTATTATTATTATTGGATCGATCCAATCCATACCATCCTATCTCTCTATGATCCATTTTAATATTGTCAGTCCACCTAAGTCTTGATCTTCCCAGTGGTCTCTTTCCCACCAAGGTTGATAGCAGTGACATCCCCCCTGCCTTACATAAGTACCGCACTCGTACAGTAACTCCACAGTGACTTGCTGTGGTGACAGGTTCAAGAAGCGACAGTTGGCCAGACTGTTGGCCCTCACGGAGTCCTGCTCATGGTCCGGTCTGCCCACTCGGGACCCCTCCAGGGGCACCCTCACCATGGCGGGCCGCATCCCGCTCATCCAGCGTCTCACCTGGCAGAGCTGCGTGCTCATCATGGCCAGCCACACCGTGCACCAGATACACCGCCTCATCACGACGAAGGACCGACCTCTCGTTTTCAACGCCTGGTTCCCTTTCGACACGAGGGAGAGTCCCGTGTTCGAACTCATCTACATCTCGCAGGTAAGATGCGTCCGCAGGGCCTGAGGAAAAGGACGAGCAGCTTTACTGTGACTAGCGAGCCTCTAGAGTCTAGAGAGTCAGGACAGGCCGTGCATGGCGGCTGGAGGCGCTACTCGACACGACGAAGTGTCAATGTCTGCAGAATTAGGTAGACGCTTTAGACCAGCAGAAAAGCCCAAGGAGATGAGCAACGCACGTTAAAAGGAAATGATCACAGCGCAGGCTCGACAACGCTTTGCTGCATGTATCATTGTTGGTAGCGGTAGTCTTGGTAAGAGCTTCCTGGAAGCAATCCGGAACTAAGCAGATGGCGTTTACCAGAGTGCACCCCCTTTTTCATCCCTGTTGCTACAATTCATTCATTGCACTATATACATCCCATTACTAAAATCCATGCATTATAGGAACCAGGAGACAGGATAGCGACTGGCTACGGGCTGGACGACCGAGAGGTCGGAGTTCTCTTCTCCTCGTCGTCCAGGCCGCTTGTGGGGCCCACCCAGCCTCCTTTCCAATGAGTAGCGGGGGCTCTTTCCCGGGGGTAAAGCGGTCGGGGTATGAAGCTAACCACTCACCTACAACTAGTGCCGAGGTCAAGAAAATGTGGATCTGTACATCCCCTCCGCATACGCCTTCATAGCATAGTGCTCAATTAGTCAAGCACAGAGACAACTTTACCCTACTACAGGAACCACGGTACGTCACAGCTTATGTAGGCACCCTCACGCAGCAACTTTCTAATGGCAATACAGGCCGTACTTCAGTGAATGAGCAATTGCGTGTACTCGTTCCGGGAGTGGGTGGAGTACTGGACATCTCAATTTATTTCTGCTTCCCTCTCGAACTTTCTCACCTCCCCACCCACTTGTCTTTGAAATTAATCGCATACATTTTTATGTTCTACCATTACTCTTCATCCTTGCATGCTACCATCCTGCTAGCACAGATATTCCAGAATCTCAATACGTTGTTCCAGTTTTAATTTTTGTTATGTACTGGGCAAATCCGCTTTCAGTATTTCTCCTGACTTCCTCCAGTCTCCAAACTCCCATTCTGCGCAACACCCTGTACACTGTTCTGCATCTTTCTCTAAACTCCCATTCTGCGCAACACCCTGTACACTGTTCTGCATCTTTCTCTAAACTCCCATTCTGCGCAACACCCTGTACACTGTTCTGCATCTTTCTCTAAACTCCCATTCTGCGCAACACCCTGTACACTGTTCTGCATCTTTCTCTAAACTCCCATTCTGCGCAACACCCTGTACACTGTTCTGCATCTTTCTCTAAACTCCCATTCTGCGCAACACCCTGTACACTGTTCTGCATCTCTCTCTCTCCAAACTCCAATTCTGCGCAACACTCTGTACACTGTTCTGCATATCTCTCCTTCCCGGCGTTGCTACTTAAACCGTTACACGATGTGTCGATGCCACGCATGACCCATGGTTTACATCTGCTGCTGAACCTCACAGGCTGTAAAGTAGGCTCACGTTTCCCTGCATTTTGAACAGTACCGTAAAAAAATTCCAAACAAAACTTGTGGGTCTTCCTTACACATTTCGTTCTTATAATAGTAATGTCTGAGAAACCGCATACATTCAGAGTGTGTCTAAAACTTCTTTGAGATTACGTCATCCTCAGAGGGTTCGGTAGCAATACATGCTTACTAAATACTATTTCCAGCATACGTTGAGAAGCAAACCACATGTACCGCTGAACACACAAGGCTTTTGTTTTGCGAGGCTGCCCGACGGTGTGACGTAATCTCCAAGATATTCTAAGAGACTTTGCAGTCATGTGACTGTGTAACTAAGCTGACACGCGTTGGACATTTTCCATACTCTCATTTTGATTAAAGGAGCACGAGGAATTCGGAAGCTGACTCTGCTTTCGTGTGGAGCTAAACGCATGTAACCCACTGCATTCGGCCCGTCAGATCCCGTCTCTGTCCGCGGAGAGCAGCGTTTTTAGTCGGACATCACAGAAATCACAGTGTATAGGCCCGTGCAAGTCTAAATGCCACCCTTGGCGACGAAATTCAGACCCCTCGTATGAAAACAGTTCGGCTCTCCCAAAACTTCGTCTCGATTAACCACACGAAATTCCCAGACACTATAGCGAAAGCCGTCATTTCTTACAACAGTGAATGTTTACACTGTTGCACACGTCTGTATTACTGCAAATTAACGGTCACGGCATACAATGGAAAATTGGCAGAAAATAATTTTCATTGAATAAATAGCAATCGTATATAACTGTTGTTCGGAGACAGAGGTTCGATGCGCGCAACGGGCCCAACACTGCGGGTTTCTCACGTTTACCTGATGATACAAGCATAGTTAGCTTCTCTAACGAAAGCCTCCAGTAACTGCACCAGCTGGACGTCATGTGACCTAACAGTCACGTGACAAACGTAAACTCGAAATACCAAGTGACACATGCACTTTGTAACCAGACCATCACGACGGTGTGGTTCACGGTGACGCTGACGTCATTCATCGGACTGTACGCGATGTTCGTGGCTGTGGGGTGCACCCAGTTGCAGAAACTGGGTTCCGATCTGCTGAGGGCAGATCTTCACCGAGGCCTCAGGGACTGCGTATGCCAGCACCAACACATACTGAGGTAAGGCTACTGCGTTGCCTAGTGCGCAGGGCGGCCCCGCAGCGATGGTCACGTTAAGCGTACGCAAAGTTTGGCAATGCTAACGAAAATTCTTTTACTATTTCCCTGAGCGTCAATAATGGAACACTATCTCCACGAAAATTCTGAAACTATGTTTAATAAATTTTTACATAAAATTCAAGCATAGGAACTCGCAGTTTGTTCAACTGACGACGTCTCTGTGTGAGGCGGAAACGCCAGCCGCTTCTGTAAGTGCGCGAGTCCAGTCAGCCTTTGCCGTACAGTTCTGCTTCTAAAAGGGCATATGTGCCGTTACGATAGCCATGGCCGGAAAAATGTCAATGTCTTTCAACCTCGAAATGCGTGCCAGGCCGCCAAACTACGCTCCTTTTGATGGGACTTGCCAAAGGATAGCTGACCTCCAGGCTTAGCACTGAACCCGAAACTGCTGCATACAGGCTAGACCTGACAAACTTTCAAGCGATACATGCGAAGGTGAGTCCCGGTTACGGGCTTTTGTAAACACGGTGAAGAACGCTGAAGTGCCCAGCACCACAGTTCTAGTTAATCGCTCTGTTTTGCAGGTTCCTGCGGGAGCTGCAGGATACATACCGCCTGGTCCTGCTTGGTCCCTTCCTCATCATCGCCTGCGGGATGTGTGTGAACACATTCTCCATCCTGTTGGTGCGTACTGAGTGGGGGTGGGTAGGCTGGACACGTAGCTCAAATGTGTAACACAAGATATATACAAGCAGAATTTTCTTGCCAGCTTGCTTGAGAGGCGGCCATTTCGAACAGAGGCAATCATAAATCTGGTCAATAGCTATGTTCCTGGAGCGAGTTCGTAAGGTGAATTTCGTAATGGGAAACGCTGTTTCCCTTAGGTCAGAAGTTAAAATTGGGGTTATGTTTCCGACAAAAATCACCGCTTCCACGCACTAAAAACGAAAATCACCAATTTTATGGCTTAAAACGGAATATGCATGCATCGGGAACGTATCAGACTACCCTATCACCACTCGAGCCTCTACAAGGCCATGAAAGACGTATTGAGGTGCGTACCAGAGCAGAGTGTATGATGAACCGACTGTGCGACGTTGTCTTCCTTTGTTCCGTTTCCTTTCGGACGGGACAGGAGAGTTCTTGCTCGAATGGCAAACCAAGCCAAGGGAATGTGCTTCATTATGAAAGTTACTATGAGAGCAATTACATAACGCGAATTTTTGGGAGAAGTATCTCTGTGGAAAATGAGATGGGGGATATTAAAACGGATCTTTCAGAAACCCGCTCTGTCTGCCTACTGCTGCATTCCCCTCCAGCCTCCCCCCCCTTAAGCCCAAAACAATTGCGGCCTTGCAGCAAAGGTTACCAGCCTTCAACCCACTGAACAGAACGCCAGGGCAACTGGAGGGGTATGGCTGTCCCTGTGCTTCATTAATTAAACACACCATGAATATGTATGGGCAGCTGAGGTATAGCTCCACTACTCTTGACCTTAGCAGTAGATAGAAGAGGTCAGCTTCACTTACAAGCCATTCAACCCGGGGGAAAAGTCCCCATACCCATTGAATAGGACTAAGAGGGCTTCAGAGATGCTCTGAAGCTGTGGAGTGGAGAAAATTTCTGGCCCTGCCAGGAATCGAATCCCTGCTGTCCACTCCGTAGCCTGTCGCTATACCGACTGAACCATCTGGGCTTCTCCTGAGGGGGATGTTATGGCGGGGAGAAACGTAACAGCTCAAGCGACATGTGGCCTCAGTGTAGATGAAACTGTTTCCAGACTCAGTGAGCAGTTTCAATGTTTGTGTTGGCAGAGCTGGGGCAAAGCGATGGACAGTCTGCAGGCCGCCACTCTGATTGCAGCCCTCACCTCACAGCTCTACGTGTACTGCTGGTTCGGCAGCGAACTCACCCAGCAGGTAAGTAAGGGTCGCCTAGCATCTAACAGTGATTTATCACTTACAAAGGATTTGGTCATGGCCCAATATCCCAATATTTGCTTGGAGGGGCTGAGGGAAACCACAAAACATCCCAATTCACGGTAGCCGGGTTCTGTGCCAAAATTTGAGCTCGGGGCTTCCTGAATGGGAAGTACTTGGGCTAACAACCTGATCGCGACATCAGTCTGCAAGCTGGTGAATGTAAAATGCATACAATTTTTTCTGGAAATGTCATTAAAGTCCACTATTGCCTAAGACTTTGACTTATCAGTCTCAAATGCTGCCAGAATAAGTTGGAATTATGTCTGTCTGTCTGCAGTCTGCTGAGCTGCGGGATGCTGTGTGGGGATGCAACTGGGTTGGGGCGCCTCTCGTTGAACAGCGCGCCCTCATTTTCATGATGGAAGTGGCTGCAGAATTCACGCTATCAGCTGGAGGCATCATCCCAGCGTCACGTCACACCATGATGCAGATCTTGAACCAGACATATTCTTTTCTCATGTTCCTCATGAACTTCATGGATAACTAAAGAACGCGAACCCCTGAAACTCTGGCACGATGAATGCAAAATTTCTAAGGTTAAAGCGATCGGCTATCTTTTGCACAGTGCACATGACTCTCCCAATGTGATATACTTAGCACACAGCCATTCCACAAGGTGACAGAATCTAGCAGCAACATCTTCACAGATCATAAAACAGACAACTGGCCAACAAGTTGGCTCAAACCTCCCCTTGTAACAAATGGTGAGTCAGAGTTAGAAACATTATTTTCTGCTGTAGATGTAATTTTCAAGCAATCAACCCAGTTTCTGCTGCCATGCCACAGTTCTAGAATGCACACATCACAATAAAATACAACATTATCACAAATATTATGAATGTCTAGAATAATTATCTACAATACAATGTGTCCTGATGAGGTGGATTTTTTCAATTGACCTAATCGTTTCAGCCACACTATGGCCCTGGGGTTGACTCAGTCTCTAACAGAAATGAGTACCGGGAATCTTCCTGGGGGGTAAAGGACGGCCAGCGCATAAGGCTGACAACCTTAACGCCATCTGTGAGCCAAATGTTTAGACAAAATGTGGGAGCCTCAACAACTCACAACCCACTGGGCCTTTACGGTCTGTTACAAGGATAGCTTTTACGATACAATGTCTTAAAATCGAGGGTTTTACGAGGATATCTCATGTTTTATACTCCTTTCATTTTAAAGATATGAAGCCCAAAATTTGTGATGCAATTGGTATGACAAACAGGAGACATTTCATACATTATGTCACTACAGAAACATTATCATTTCCAGCACTGCATACAAATAAATACATTATATTCAAAGGAAATCATCCTGTAATTTTTTTTTTCAAAAAATTCCAAATTTTACCCCTCCCCCGAAGCATTTAAAGTCCAGCTTACCAGGTATTTAAATGCCTGCTCGAGGGAGCTTTTTGCTTTTTCCCCGCAAACTTCAGGTTTACTGACAATGTACCTATTCTCTGAACCTAATCAATCTACTGACTTGAAATTTTTTGTGGTTCACTGTCATGTATACTAGAAGGATCTGAATCATCTAGAAATGTAATTTTGAGAAAAACTTTTTTTTAAATAATAAAAATAGAAAATTATAAAATTTGTTTAAAAATTTTAAAATTTGGAACGAGAGACAAGATGCAATTTCTAAATGATTCACTTTTTAAATACCCTTGTTTTCTAAATGTAAACAAAGTTTCAGACCTGGATATTTAGTAGTTAATGAGAAAAGATACATTGTTTAATGTAATGAGTTAAATTATTTATAACAATTTATTAACAATTACAGACTATAATTACAGAATAAGATAATTCCGGATATGGTATATCAAAAGATCAGACATTATTGAATAGGTATGCAAATTTTTGTGAAGATAGCATGAAAACCTGATTTACGAGGCAAAGCTTAGTAGAATGTGTGATATTTATAGCATTCCAGGTTAATGCTCCCTTAAGGAAAGTAATTTCATTCTGTGGCCACAAAAAGTGTTGGTGTTCTCCTGCTGGGTAAACTACAAACAAAGCGAAAATGTCCCATTTCTTCAGTCATAGTGCAAACTTGAAACATTCTTGATATCGATTCCTAATTAGTCTTTAATTAAATATTGTTCTATATTCTACAAAGTCTTAAAGCAAACAAGAAAATGAACATTTACGATATGGAGATACAATTCCATTTCATATTTAACTGTAACCGCATATTACTATTGGGCATATGGTATTTTGAAATGCATCTACTTAGACTGTAATGCAAATATTTAAATTTTCCTACATAAAGCGACAAACCCAGTCTTCAAAACCAGATCAATCAGTGCACCATTTGCTCCCCTGGAAAGAGGCTAAGCAAATATGAAAACGGAAAACTAAAATGGGTTATTCTAATGCAATTTCCATGCCCTTTGTTATACATACATATATTAATATTGTATTCAAGCATCCTGCTGGATTAGCCAATCATATGAGTCATATATCACGTGATGTATATTAATGGCTAAATTGCAAGCACCAAACCTTCCAGATGCAAGCTACTTACTAATTTAATTCAATTCCAAATAACATGAATGAATGCAAAATATGTTTTACAGCCTTTCAATTATCTCCATTACTCTGACAAAGCTCTCTCATTTTCACAAAATAATTTCAGATATCTATTGACCACCTTAACGTTTTATTGGTTTACATGTCAAAAATGCCTGCCTTTTCAAAGTGCTCTTTGCAGACGTCCACAGGACTGCATTTCAATTAATCAAATGCTTCTTTAAAAACTTTGCTTCTGCAGTATTTTTGTATAATCCAACAGCCATTGTTTTACTTGGGGATCCATGCATAGTTCTACATCCAAATGCAGTTCACTTAAATTAACTTTTGCAAAACTGATGTACAAACAACACTGAAAGCACACCATTCTGGACATGTACCTGCTTTTCTTTGCTAACCGAATGGCCAGTCCCACAAAAATGAGACAACAATTCTGATGGATGGGAGATAATAGAGAAACTTGTCTCTACCACAGTTCTGTGTGCTTCAGGACACTTACAAGTTGCTTTTAAAATATGAAAAAAGTGACCATTTGATTATATATAAATACAAAAACTTCCAAATGCAACACATTCATAGCTTCTTCAGCAAGGAATCCCATGTGACACAGCATTGAGCCATGATATTAAAGCCCAAGATGTTTATATGTTTATTGGGTTAAATCTCCATATGTAAGGTTGGTAGTTGCCCTGTGCTCAACTAATTAAACACTACACCTTGAAGGCATATGGGGGAGTGAATGTACAGATCCACATTTTCTTGACCTCAGAACTAGCTGTAGGTGAGTGGTCAGCTTCATGTCCTGGCTGCTTTACCCTTGAGAAAGAGTCCCCAGTACCCATTGGATAGGAGGTCATGTCGACCCCAGAACCCGTCTGGACGTGGAAAAGAGAAAATTCTTGACCTTACTGCAACTTGAACTCCAACCCTTGGTCATCCAGCCCACAGTCAGTTGCTATACTGAACACACTATTGCAGGCCACACACCTCCATATGTAACCACCTTTGGAATACTATGATTTTGTTACTCACAGCAATCATTTTTCTTCAAAGGTATATTTCCTTCACAGTCAACCAACAACAATATAATAATCATCCTAACCTCCCAAACCACACTTTCTGGACTTTAGCCTTTTTATGTTGTCTTCGAGCAATTAACCTGTTGGAAATGTCTTTGTGAACAAAACTGCACGAGCTACATCAGTATCTTTGTTTCATTATGGGATCCTCTCTCTTTCATTATATCTCTAACACATGGCATAGTGTAAATCCTCAGCACTAGAAATGTGTGTCAACACTAAAAACTAATCTCCCCAACTGGACACGCACATACGTGACTATCTAGCATACACTATTTTATGAACTCATTTTCAAAAGAACCACTTCTTTTGAACATAAATTTGAACACATTATAAAGATGTCATCACCAATATCTACAATATTCTACCAGTAGTCAATTTGCACCATCATATGCTCTATTTTATGCTTCCTTCTAGAAACGTAGCTAAACACGACAGCGGATCAAGAGCTGCAGGCCAGAGTGCCACCTGAAATTGAACAATTGTGAAAAAGCACTGGACAAAACCACACCTTTATTAAATAGCAAGTTAACAAATACATTATTCTGCACTTGGTGCGTTCCATTAGCAAACTATATGCAGAACATTACGAGCCAGTGAAACAGTGAGAAATGGGGCAGGACCTGCCAAGCAGTTACATGGAACCAAAGGCTGATGGTTCTGTCTATTCATAACCATATCACGAGACAATTATTTCAACTAATAAAGCCCACCAGTTTTTCATCCTGCAGAGACTATATGTGTACACTACTATTTCAACTACTTGTGTTGAACAGATAATATTAAAATGGACTACTGGACTGAACTGTCTCAGAATGCGGTCAAATGTAAAGATGATGATGATGCACTTGAAAGTTGACAAATGTTCATGAATGCACACACATGCACATAACAGTTCCCAAGATTACAATCTTCTGGAAGGTGCAGGTCACTGCAAAACACTGATACCTATGAACCCACTACAGTGTCATCCCAGAAAATCAACCAACCATACACCAGCTACTCACCCAAGCCCTCTCCTGCGACGTCCATCCTACAGGGCACATTCAAACCCACAAGGGACAAATCACTGTCCCTAAAACAGTGGCCTTCTGCTCCTGCCGACAGAAACATTACAAGAATAGTGGTCTTACAAATGGATGAGGTTCTCATGTTAGAGAGAATTAATGAAATAAAACAGCAAAATGCCTCCTCACAGCCATGTCCTTCATAATTACTCTATATATTACTAACAGATATGTTCACAGTAGTACTAGTACTAATCTGTGGCCAGTATGGCCCATGATGAACCTTGGCTTCTGTTTTACAGTTTCTTAATCATATAGACAGTTGGTAGGAACCCCTGGGTCGAGAATCAGCCCGCTGCAAGGCTGCCACCTGCACAAGACAACAGAACCACAACATCCATGCCTCAAATGGGATTCGAACCCATGATCCCAGTGTTTCAGTGTTTGAAGACAATTCATCCCTTAGACTGAGTGGGCACTGTTATCGACAAGAGATATATCTATATTCAGCACAAAGCCCATGACATCATGTGCAAATGGACAATATAACTAACATGACTGACAAATGTGCTAATGAATGAGGTGAACAGACCAGAAGCAATTCTTCTGTACCTCCTTAACACACCAAGCAACACTGCATTTGGATTCAATCCTCTTAACACATGCATCCATACACTAAGCAGGATTTGAAACTCGGTCTCACTGCTTGACTGGCAAAAGATCAAAACACAATATTTATGATAAAAGAACAGAAAGTACAGCCACGAGACAAAAAATATTAACAATTATACACTGGAGGCCTTCAGCGAGTTGCAGAATTGAATGTGAAGCTACTGACCTTCATACATACTGGTCACGTGGACAGATAAGTCAGCAGGCAAAACTTTCATAATGTCTCTACTCTTTGCTTCTAGAACATTATGTGACAGAGACTATTCCTGACTGCTGTCATGTTGAGTCATCTGTATACATTCCCAGTGTTGTGGCCACAATTCTGAACCACTTTTGTTTTTTTACCTGTGCACGAGTTGCAATGACTTTGGTTTATTTCCAAGCCGTCACTAATCCCACTGATATGAATATGTACTTCACTCCCCAGTGATCACAAAATGGAGTAACTTCATGTGCTGGCCTTCAAAACAGTCAATGTCTAAAGTTTCTGGATTAAAATAAACTTCAAATATATTGTCACAGTTCAACTGCCAGAAGTTCCACATCAACACAAAACTGAATAGAAATCTGGACCAAAGATGTGAGATTCCTGCTAACATGAATTCATCACTTACTAACACATTTACTTGTTCAGTTTTACCTACCACACAAGAAAGTCTGAGGGTCTGTAAATGTATTTTGTCCTTATATTTGAAGTTACAACTGATGAAGTCTGCTTAAATCTCTTTTAATGTTAACAACTGTCTGCTGTACATCACTTTGACAGTAACTTCTCTAAGCTTAAGGGTCATACTATCCCTTCAGCTGAATCATGTTTCGGTGCTTCCACATTCTTTCATTTCAGGATTTCAATCTGCTGTCTCACTCTTTCCAGTGTAGCTTATGAAGAATTACACATAAATATAATTCGGGAGTGACATAAATTACACTTTCAAACACTGCAGAAGAGAATGTATTTAATGCCTGAGGTTTCTGTGACTCTCCAGTCTATCCAGGCAAATTCTGAGGCAGTTACTTAATACGGGGCACAACAGCTTGCTTGCAAATCCTCACATTATAATCATTCAGTGCTTTACAAGAAAGTTTCACTGAGAGAAGAAACTGCGGCCATAAACACATGACAAAGGCAACATTAAGCACTGATTTACATTTAGCTGTTGTTCATACAGGCCTGTAACATGACTAGAAGTGCTACACAGCACTGTGACACTACTGCAAATATAGAATGGGTGACCTTCCCACAAAGTGAATCACAAAACTCTGCCCCACTGACGCCCCCCCCCCAAGTTAAGAGCCCCACTTTCGTCACTATACAAGAGATAGATTTGGTTTCTTTCTGTTGATGAGAGTATCTGTATGTGTGAACAGGACACCCGTCACCTATAGTTATATAGGCACGTTACAGGTAGGTAGCAAAGAAATGCTGATAAAATAAGAGCAGGGAAATCTCAAGGAAAAATGGCTGTTTGAAACACAAGAACCTGCTGAATTTTAGAAAATAAGACTGTCAATTCTGAGGTTTTCACAGCAAGGAATATGAGTATTACAGTCTTCTGAAACATGACACTCTAGCTCGGCAGGAAGTTACCAATCAAGGGCACAAGGATTCTTCTGACCTGATAATGAAGGCAAGAGGTTCCTCTGAAACACAGTTACTTTGTACCAGACTACACGGCGTCACATCCCAGAAGACAGTCATTTTCAAGATGGAAACACAATGGTGAGTGAATTAAGAAATGTCCTACATGATCTGAGCTGGGCTATAAGAGCCGGCACCTTGCATCACTGAACATCTGGCACAGACCGGTCCATATTTGGCACAGATGTGCTGTTCACGTCAGCAGTCTGACATAGGGGCAGGGTCACATTTCTGGAGACTGTTGCTAGGTGATCACCAGAGCAATCACTGTAGTGTCGCCTCTTGGGGGGCACCAGAACTGATGGGGTCAGAGACATCTCTCTGTGAGGGACATCCTTCTGCAAAGTTGAGACACTTGCAACTGCTGGGCTGCGTGGTTGTTTAGATGGAACATCTGTAACAACTTCTTCTGTGATTGGTGGCCAGTTCTGATTGTGTTGCAGGGACTGTTCCAGGGCCAGGAACTTCCTGTGTGATTTGTCTATGTTGTGGAAGTGATACAGCAACTTTCTGAACATCAGGTAGTCAATGATGAAGTACTCTATAAACACTGCCAATACAGTGTTCACAAATGCAAGCATCACCATTATTAGCCGGAAGTCCAATGTTGGGGGCACCATGAGCTCAAACCTGTCACGCAGCCACTCCGCTGGATCCAAGGTGAGGTACAACGTGAAACCAGTAAGGCACACCAGCGATGCCAAGAACCCATAGTTACTGAATATGGACTTCCTGTATGGTGCCCCCTTAGAGAATACTAATGCCAAGATTATATACTGCATGCTAGAGACCGTGAAGAGGGCATAGTTTTCGAAACATGCATTGCTGCTGTCCTCAGCATCTTCAGCAGTTGAATTGTATGGCTCAAACCAGGGCATCTGTTGCACCCAGTAGAACGAGACCCACTGCACCAAGATCACCACTGCCAATTGCATCAGGAGGGACAGGATCGGGGAGAGGGAGATAAGAGACATGATTGGCGGCTTCTTCACCAGCGGCCCATCATATGCTTCTGTGCGACCAAAAAAGAAGGCAAACACTGTGATGACAAACAAATCAATATAGAGGAATTCAATGTCTGTCAGGTTGCTGTCAATGGAGTACAAAATCATCACTGTCACAAACTGTGTCAGGGAGTATGCTGCCATATATTTAAAGATGCCAAAAGATGTCACCAGAGCAGCACGACCCTCCCGTATGACCCTTGGAACACACGAGATGTTCGCCTCTTTGGAAGTGAAGGGAGAGGCGACAGAAGACTCCGAGTCAGAGAGTGAAATTCCCGCATGTGCTGCCTTCAGGGCGCCACAGTCATTAGCACCATCTCCACACATGGCTGTCAACATATAAATATACATTTTTAACCTTGAAACTAATCCTTTCTCCAAGCAAAACAATCACCTGAAGACAAGGCACACTTCAAAAAGAGCCAAACCATACTTAACTGACATGAACTCAGGTGAGAACAAAAACAAATGACAGCATGGTCTGGTACAAACCGTTAACCTTTGCTGCTGAACTGATGCTACTCACCCACATAGTATCCTAAGGCCTGCAGCTCCTGAACCAGCTGCTGCTTGTGGTCCGGACTCATTCTCGCAAACACGGCCCCTCTTGTTGCGAGTCTGGGGACTGTATCCGGAAAGTGAGTCTTCGCAATCATCCAGGTCTTTCCTGTCATCACAAAGCAGTAGCCACTGTCTGTCGTGGCCACACTGTCATCAGTAGTAGGACTGACAGTGCCAGACTCAAGGGTGTCGAAGCTGATGGCACTGGAACTGTTGGCCAGGTCCCTACCAGTACAGTGCTGTGGGAAGGTGTGCTCAATTACCACATGATTCAGCAACTGACAAACACATCTCGCTGTACATACAGAAGTTACTTTCCTATATGTCATTAAATATCCATGGGACACATGGTAGTATAGTTTGTTGAGGCACAAGTCCCGATGAGGTCACTGGATTTTTCAATTTACCCAATTCTTCCAGCCGCACTATGGCCCTGGGGTCAACTCAGCCTCTAACAGGAATTAATTAAATAATTTTCGTGGGGAGTAGAGCGCGGCCAGCGCGTAAGGCTGACAACCTTACCACCATCTTTGAGCCGATTGTCTAGATAATGTGGGACCCTCAACGTCTCACAACCTTATGGGCCTTCACGGCCTGTTACAGGGGTACCTTTACTTTTACATTAAATACCCATAATATTAAAAATGCACAGAAACTCTATATTATGTACATAGGTTGTCCAGAAAGTAGACCATTAGATGAATAAACAGAAAATGAATAAAATTGGAAGATTTTGATTTTTTGTTTCATTCTGGCCCATCACACTAATAATATTATGAAGAAGTTCAACAGTCCCATCCAGTGTGACTGCCTGAGATTTTTTTTCTTATTTCAATTATCCATGCCCTTACATGTTTCAGTCTTCAGAGACCATCTTCAGAGGTACACCTTTACAGCAATACACTTAGAAGCCATTATTACAGTACTTGTTCTAAAAGTTAAAATATATACATACAATATTAATAATACATACTTGGGAGTAAAATCTAAAGTCTTTACAACTACAGCGGCAGTTCCAATACATTAAAATATTTATGGTTAGTTTGATAAGATTCTATTTGAGTTTGTAAACCAAGCTGGTTCATGTCGTCCCTCTTAATATTTCTTTTGACGGGGGCCGAATGTGCCACCTTGTCGTTCTCAAGAAGAGGGTTCTTTGATGTTGTCCTGTATCTGTTTGTGGCACACTGTGTTGTTCTCGAGAACGACAAGGTGGCCCCCGTCAAAAGAAATAATAAGAGGGATGACATGAACCAGCTTGGTTTACGAACTCCAATAGAATCTTATCAAACTAACCATAAATATTTTAATGTATTGGAACTGCTGCTGTAGTTGTAAAGACTTCAGATTTTACACCCAAGTGAATATTATTAACATTGTATGTATACATTTTAACTTTTAGAACAAGTACTGTAATGGTGGCTTCTAAGTGTATTGCTGTAAAGTTGTCCCTCTGAAGATGGTGTTTGAAGGGTGAAACATGTAAGGGCATGAATAATTGAAATAAAAAAAAATCTTAGTCACACTGGATGGGACTGTTTAACTTTTTCATAATTGGAAGATTTTATTTTACATCATTACTACAGACCTTAAATCATTTTTCTATATAATTCCCATGAAGCTTCAGGCACTTGTATCGTGTGATGAGTTTCTGTATGCCTGTAGCATACAGATCTGCCACCAGTCCACCGAACCACTCTTTAACAATCTTCTTCACCCATGTGTGTGACGCACAGAAACTTCAAGTGTGTGGACAAGTGAAAATCACTTGGAGCCAGGTCTGGACTCTAGGAACAATGGGGGGGGGGACACCCCAGGCAAAGTCAGCAAGTGTACATGTGCTGGTGGTCTTTACATTTTGGATGACCCTTTTATGTGACAAGTCTCTAAATTTTAAGCCGTTTTTATGAAGGTTAATTTCAGTTTCAGCTAATGAATGGTTAAATTTGTCCAACATGAACCAAACTTAAATTTCTGATATTTATGAGTGGTGCACATCCACCAATTTTATTACAACTGAGTTTGCAGTTCTGGAGGTATGACAAGTGGTCAGAGAGTTGCAACAATGTGTGCTACATGCACTGCACAGCACACACACTGCTTCCCCCACCAGCACTGTGTGAATGTGCGTGTGGGATCACTGTGAAGAGTTTCCTGGATAAGTCACTCCAGGTAGATTGATGCAGTGTTGCTATGACAAGAATTAGGACGAGGGCACACCAAGGAAACTGGCAACTGCAGCTTCCGAGAATTGTCATCTGACTGAGTAAAACACGTGGCACTGAACTGAGAAAGTAGTAATGCAATTACAACACAACTCATTGGAAGACTAAGAAACTTATCTCCCAGGCAACTGAACAGACCAGTCGTCTTATAAGGCCAGGTGCACACCAAGGAAACTTGCAACTGTGATTTCTGAGAAATATCAGCGCTTTCAAGCAGGTAACTGGTTTCCAAATTAGCAGGCGCACACTGAGGAAACTTGTGTTCGATTAGTTGCTCACATCTTCTCAAGTGGGTATTTGCCAACTAATTCCGTGCACTTCTCTTCTGCAATGTCATGTAATAATATCATTCCTGTAATGATATGATGGTGGTTGCAATGGCATAAGAGGAGAAGACAGGAGAAAAGGAAACACTGGGTGCATCCATTCTTTTGCAACAATTTTAACTCAGATGTATATTTTGTTTTGAAAGAACTTAATCAGGATCCAGAACTGTTCAAATCATTTTACAGAATGAGCACTGAAAGTTTTTCTTTATTTGTGGATCTTGCAGGACCTCAAATTCAAAGACAAGATATAAATTTTCAAACAGCTGTGTCAGCAGAACCATAGGCAAAATTATATTTTTGTATATTCTAATTTTTATGTTTCTTGGACAGCAGACGAGAAGACAAAAGCTTCTGGACTGAATGGTAGCAAGCATTACCCAAGTTCAATCTCCTCTTAATTTCCTCCTGAATCAGGTTTTCATTTGTTATCATTGTTCCCAAATATCTGAACGGTACCACATTTCAAAACAACTGTTTCCTATCTTTATGTCATGATTTTGCTCTAAATTTTGGTGATGAGACAGCAACATGTACTCAGTTTTCTCTGTGTTTACTTCTAGATCAACCTCCTTACTTGCATCACTTAAAGTTTGTGTGATTTTCTTCATGGTATCTACATTATCACCCAGTAGATTCACATCATCGGCATAGGCCAACAGCTGATGTGTCCCATTTAATTTCAGTCCCACCTGGTTTTCCTAGACCTTCCTAATGGCATATTCTAAAGCAAAGTTGAAAAGGAGTGGTGATAAAGCATCTCTTTGTTTTAGACCATTATGGATAGGGAAATTATCAGACAAATGTTTACCTATATGGACTTTACGATATGATTAGTTTAAACACATTTTAATCAGCCTAACTAGTTTCATGGGTACACCAAACTCTATGAGAATACTGCACAATACTTCCCTCCTAACTGAATCAGAGGCTTTCTTGAAGTCTACGAATAGGTGATGTACTGTCTCATTGTACTCCCATTTTCTCTCCAGTATTTGACGAATGCAGAAGATCTGATCAGCAGTTGATCTGTTACGTCGAAACCCACACTGACGATCCCACATAATTTCATCTGTGTATGGACTTACCTTGAGAGAAGAATATTGGATAAAATTTTGTATGAAGTTGGTAGCAGTGATATCCCCCAATAATTACTACAGTCGGTTTTATCACCCTTCTTGTGAACTGGTACAATAATAGACACAATTTTTCCTTATGCCAAATAGAATTAATTAGCTTGTGGATCTCAGAACATAATATTTCACCTCCTGCTTGAATAAGTTCTGCCAGAATTTGATCACTACCTGGCAATTTATACCTTTTCAATTTTGCAGTAGCAATTTCAACCTCAAAAGGACTAGGATCAGGTACTAACAGCTTAGCTGTATATATTTCTATCTGCCTAACATCACTGGCTCTATGTACATTCAATAACTGAGAGAAGCAGCTGTTCCACCAATTCAAAATGTTTTGCGAATCTGCAAGCAGATCACCAATCACCATTCTAATCCTTCACTAAGTTATTTCTAGGTTGTAAACCCCTCTTAGGGTCATTTATTCCTCTATACAGGTCTCTAATGTTCTTGTTCTTACTGTTCATTGTAAGCTCATCCATTTGGTCTTTCAGAGATTCCCTCTTTTTGTTCCTGAAATGCCTGCTGGTTTCATGTCTTATACTGTTCAGATTATCCCCATTTATTTTGCTTGGAACCTGTAACCACTGCAATTTGGCTTGTTTCCTTTGGCATAATACTTCTGAGCATCCTTCATTGAACTGTGGCATTTGCTTCTTCAGTGCTTCTTGTGAACACGGCAAGCAACAGTCTGTTTAGTGATAAAGGTAAACATACCCTAAAAACAAAAAATACATGAAATAAAATTTAAAACTTCTGTACAAACAGGTACATTGTGAATTTCCTTCACTGCTACCTTACAGAAGTAACATGGCTATATTACTATAGCCCATTCCTGGAGCTGAGCCCTTCTTGAGAAGACACCAATTATGTAGCTGCATTTTATGGAACCTGAAGGTTCATTACCATGTTCACAAGAGCCCTCCACTGGTCCCTATCCTGAGCCAGATCAATCCAATCCATACCATCTTATCTCTGTCAGATACATTTCAATATTGTTCACCCACCTATGCCTTGGTCTTCTCAGTGGTTTCTTTCCTTCTGGCTCTCTCACCAATATCCTACATGAATTCCTCTTCTCCCCCATTCGTGCTACATGCCCTGCCCACCTCATCCTCCTTGACTTGATCATTTTAATTATACTTGGAGAAGAGTAAAAGTTATGAAGCTCCTCATTACGCAGTTTTCTCCAGCCTCCTGTCACTTCATCTCTCTTTGGTCCAAATATTCTCCTCAACACCCTGTTCCCAAACAGCCTCAGTCTATGATCCTCCATTAATGTGAGAGATCAAGTTTTACACCCATACAGAACCACAAGCAAAATTATAGTTTTGTACATTCCTAAAATATGCGTAGGTATGATGCCATGAGAGAAACATCAATTTCTAATGTCAGATTCACTTCAAATAATTTCTTCCTGCTGCATCTAATCATCTCTTCCATAAGGTCGTCAAAATTGTTAATCCAGATGATAAAAAAATATTGGTACAAAGACATTGCACATACTCTCATACCTTGGAAATGAAACAGACTGCTGCTGTGCAAGTGGCCACTCCTGAGCGCTGATTATATAAGTTCAGACATATACACTGCGTAACAATTTTGGGCCCTAGTTTGCAGACCACTCTTATTCTCCTGAGGTACAACCTATATCGTTTTATTTAGGGATACGTTCCCCATAAATTTCTGAAATGTAATCCAAAAAACTATGGCCATTTTTGAGAAAACTGTCATTTTGTTCTTTGGGCCTCAAATTTTGGTGAAACAATGCTATGTCCACCAAGCACTGACCTATGATGGATGAACTCCTAAAGCCTGAACATGAATAAAATCCATCCAACTGTTCTCAGCTAATGAGGAGCACATACATACAGATGGATTTTTTTTTAATTCAGGAGGATTGGAAATATGTAACTCCATCAAAATCTCAACACAAATTCTTTAACTATCACACTTTCTCATACACACTATGTATATGAGAAAGTAAAATAAAGTGACAAATTTCAACATTTGTTGGTTTTATTCATAACCAATTAAAGAGAAACGTGCATAATTTTCATTTTTGCCTGGGAAAAATGTGGCTCTACAGCCCCTGACAGAAAACTCACCACGGCCAGAGAGGGAGGCATGCTGTTGCAGGCATTGGTGTACAGGAGTTGTGCAGGCTCTCCAGAGTGGCCCAACAGCCCATGAGCTACCACAACCCGTTGTCCCAAAGCGATGATCCCACAGTCACGTGCTACGCTCAATGCAGTTAGCATGTTGTCACCTACGTAACAATAAGAACCAATGTTACTTGTGCCACCCATGCCCAAACCTCACACAACTTGCCACAAAGACCTGGGGTTTCTGACTTTCCTATTAAGTGTGGGAAATGTGTGGCACTGAAATCACAAACATCAACTGACAAGGTTACAATCAGAGACAAAACTACAGAATAAATCAAAGAGAGCACTGATCAATCAACACAGCAACCGGTGTATACCCATAACTACAATTTGTCTTTAATTTGCTCATCTGAAGAGGCTGTCATAACTGAGAACACAGCCTCTGATGATAGGATGATTACTGAATGTGAAGCAGCTGATGGAATAAAAACTGGTAGGAGAAACTGAAGTACTCGTCTCTGTGCCACACTGTAGTGTCAAACCAGTGACCTACTGCCTGAGTTATGGTTCTGCCCCCTTCACTATCACAGCTGTGACTGAACTTACCTGTTACCATGATGGTTCTGATGCTGGCATTACGCAGCATTCCAATGATGCCAGTGGATTCTGGCTTCAGTCTGTTCTCCATGATGATAAGTCCCAAAAATATGAGACTCGACTCCACATCCTCCCTCAAGAGGCGCTGCACCTTCACATAGCTTACACGAGGCAGCCCTTTGTATGCCAATGCCAAAACACGGTAGCCCTCCTGTGTGTACTCCTCAAGCACAGACGTTAGGTCTGTCGGCACTGAAAATATGAGAGTGCCTGCCCCTGAGATACAGCCCCACTCATGTAGCATGCATGGGAGGACCAAGAAATGGGCTACATTTTGGTAGAAAACCGTTAAGGTATCAGGCCATTTGGGAGACTTCACCATGGGCAAGACAACAGTACCAGAATGGAACAGATGGAAATACACTGTTACGATATGAACTTCCTGCACTGGTTCAGGACAGGGTGCACGTGTCAATATGCTAAAGCCTAAATAACAGCTGCACAAGTTTCACACACACCTGTATCTGGCTGGGACAGTGACAGTATCATCTCGGGGGAACCCTTGCAGTACACCTGGAACTGCGTTGCCCCGAGTGTTCTCGTGATGACACTCATACGTTGCAGATTTGATGAGAATGGAAACTGTCGAACAATGCCGATCTCCAGTGGTGGCTGTAAAACGCACAGCAGGAACATTAATCAGCTGCCATATTTGTAGTAATTCCAGCTGGCTGGAACAGCTCACTGAAAATTAAGTAGTGAATGGGGAAAATCTGACGATGAGTAGAATGAAAAAGTTTGCTGACACAAAACTACCACTGCACAGGGCTCACTCACCTCTATGCCATCTACACCCTGCAGCACACTGGTTGAATTGGGGGGCCTCACCACTGTTGGGAAGATCATGTCAAACTTTGAAGTGTCATTCACTTCTGGCTCTTCCAGTAACCAGCCTGTAGACTCAAACATCTGCAATAACAAAAACATGCCATGTAATCAGTTCGCCCTGCTGAGGCTGATGGAGAGATGACTGACAGGGGAGAGGTTTCCACTACATGGGCTGCCCTGGTCATCACAGGTGGGAAATTAATCTAGAACACACTCACTGCTACTGCTGCTGTACTGTTTCATGACATCTGAACAAGACAGTTCTTCTTTGTCTTCAGCAATACTAGATCTTGCAGCCAAGAAAACTCTTCTTGAAATTACCACTACATTGCACTACATGCAGACTGATGCTGCCACACTGTTAACTGTCACAGTTAACTCACAGCGTGCATAACAGCTACAGTGTGTAGCCAACAAAATTCTGCAACGTTCCCTTTCAAACTCTATATAATACCACACCCTGATGAAATTTGGTGTATTTAACCTAAACTAAAGTTTACAGTACACCGTGGAAATCACATAGCATGAACCTATACAAATGCTGAGTCTATCAGCTTGTGTCATCCCTCAACTAACCTTCAGGTCAAGTGGGTCACCACTTAGCTTTCCGTCTATGATGGTAAGTGAGTGGCAGGTCACCATGCCTACCAGGAACTCCTCATTGTAATCCATCTTGTCAACACACTTTAATGGCACCTGGAACTTCCTGTCTGCGACCGGCACTATGCCCCACATGTCCAGCCCATCCTCTGTAAGTGTTCCCGTCTGCAACAGTTCAGCTGGTTCAATCCTCTAGTTCCAGTATGTCATCTTCGTGATGCAGGGTTGCCATGTTACCATCATTTTTATAATGTTTGCAATAAAAAGTTGCAAAAATGCAACTACTGGCTTTGTCATATCTCTTCACACACAGCACAAAAATTGGCAGATTTTCATGAAATCTACATCAAACCACTGCATGGTGTAGAACACGCAGACCATATATGCCATACTGTACGATCATATAAAGATACATGTCGCGTGAAAAGCATACTAATATCCATACACTACAACCCATACATCATAGTAACTTGTTGTTGGGCTTCACTACCGGGCTTACTATGTAGAAAGCTTCTACAATAAGAGCATGCCCAATTTCTACAGTGCAGCAGTGCAACCTAAAATATTTAAGTTGGCATAGCATTCTCAACCTACCATTGGAAACCTTTTACATTTTTTAACATTTTTAATATAATTTTTATTATACCTTTAATATCTTTATTGCATTTCAACATATTTGGTATTTTTCAATGACTATGTATTCCTGTGTACAATTGCCTGATGATGGTCTTATGTAACTGAAACATGTAGCAGTATAAGATCGAAAATAAAACTGTATTTGTTGTGTTGACGGTGACATAATTCTCATATACATATATATATCGTACTTCAGGCAGTAAGATTTTTGGATGTGGCAAAGTTTACTACGCAAACTCCATTTTCATTACTAATTCCATGTAAACTCTCATTCTCAATTATTGGTATGAAAATGTCTTCAGTACCTACTTTAGCACTGAAATCGTCTAACAATAAAAGAAGGAATATTTGGATCAACTTACAGCACAGAGTTTGATGCCCTGACCATCCGGTGAACACAAAGGGTCCTCAAAATTTGGCAACTGCTACTCAGTTGCTGGGGTTGGCATTAAGCTACATACTGTGACAGAGGCTGCACATTCATAATGTTGGCATTGGACATCAACTCTCATGGGATGGGACAGTTCTCTCTAAGGAATAAAATTAACATTCATAGAAGGTACAAAATTTCACAGGATATAAGAAAACTTATGCACCTTGTCGAAGCAGACACAGTCAACTGAGCCTGACACATTGATAGTACGTGGGCTAATGCAGTACACATTCTTCGCCTCAAGTCTGTTCTGAGCATAGAAGCGCCCAACTGTCATGGCTGCTGGTAATGCTGGTGGAACGACGATAGTTATGAGGTCCAGGGACTCCAGCACAATCTGCGATGTGCTGATTCCTCGCATGAGCTGCCAACACAAGCATTCAGCATGTTCTAGTTACAGTGTAGTGGGCTGCACAGACACAAAGTCTGTATCATGAATATGGACACACAGGACAACTCTGGACTCATACAAACTGACATAACACAAAATTGATATGTCCAAGCCACAAAGTAACTATTGGCCCCCACACATATCTAAGTAACTGGGATAGTGTAGTCAGCACAGTGACTGACTACGGGCTGGACAGCTGAGGGGTCAGAGTTCAAGTCCCAGTATGGGGCGAGATTTTTCTCTTTTTCGCATCTTCCAGACTGGTTCTGGGGCTCACCCAGCCTCCTATCCAATGGGTACTGGGGCTCTTTCCCCTGGGGTTAAGCGGCTGGAGGTGTGAAGTTGACCACTTACCTCCAACTACTGCTGATGTCGAGAATACTTCGATTCTACACAGCAACTCCCTCATACGCCTTCATGGCATATTGCTTAATTAGTTAAGCATAGGGACAACTTTAGCTTCTTTTTACACTTACTTACCTAACTGCCTACACACATATCAACCAATACACTTACCAAACTACCTACATATCTACCCAACCAACCAATCATCGGCCCACCTTGGTGATCACGGTGTATATGAAGCCAATACTGGCAATGCAGGCCAGCAGCTCCACAAACTTGTACGAGTCATGCTCAAACTTGAAGTCAACAGGTGGGGGGTACATGATAGAGCGCACAAGGCTGCCCTTAGCTGTTGAGAAGCCTGTCCGTATGACCACGGCCAGCACGTGCTCATTGCCAAAGTATCGCGTCTGTATCACGTGTGTCCCACAAAAAAGAATGTGACGAGCATGCTCCTTGGCATCAAATGGAATGTCTGAGTTTGGCAATGGTGTCTTGGTAACGGGGACACTTTCACCTGTAAGAAACAGGCACTCTTTACATACAAGCCATGCAGACTACTTACCTTATCACAATGCATCTTGATGGTTGTGCACAAACAAAACCATGATCATCAGCTAATATAACTGAACACTGCAGTCATCTGGGATGTGACGCTGTGTAGTTTGGTACGACGGTACAGAAGCAGAACACACTGCCTCCATCCCCAGTGTGCAGTCTCACATCTGAGAAGACCACTGTCTCATAGAACATCAGATCTTATGCCCTTTGCCCTTCTGTAGATCACTGACCCCCGTATTAGCTCCCATCAGACATAAAGCTATCAAGCTGCATGAGTTAAGAAATATTTATCCTCATTTATCATTATAAATTCACCGTATCACAAAATATTTTACAAATAAGACATTTATTCAATACTAAGGGATTGTGATGGTGGTATTTCACTTAGAAATACTGGGTTTCTGTATTTCATCCATTGTTCAGTATTTTATACAGAACATTTCAGAACCTGGTCGTCATATTCAAAAGTGTAACTGTTGGAGATTTGCTTCACTGCATGTGAGATGAGTACTGGTGGTACCTTCTGTGCTGTTGAAGGTTGCAATACAAGGACTGGTCTAAGTCTGTCCCTTCTGTATTCATTCATTCATGTTCTGTCCTTCCACTTGTTGTTGAAGTGCTTTATAATTGCATGTGATACTCCTCTTACAGGACTCAATTTTATGGGGGTTGATCTGTTATAGCTGGTATTACTACCATAGTCAATAAGTTCGTGGACTCACCGCTAAACTTCGTTGCAATGCACTACAGCAGATAGGTTGAGGCACGATATGATGCCCTGTCAGTTAATCTCTCATCACGGCAAGAGGCAGTTGTGCGCAAACAATGTAAGCAAAACTACGACCTCTATTGTGAACTGCAGTTAAATGCAAGTGGCGGAAATCGAAAATGTGGCAGTTTCAACAATGGGCAAACATCAAGTTCTGTCAAGAACTAGGCAAATCCCCTAGCAAAACGTTTGGCATAGGAAGAATTGGCTGTTGCTACACGACAACGCCCCTGCACATGGCTCTGTTCTTGTCCAAGAGGAACTGGCAAGGCAACAGGTCACCGTTTTGCCACGCCCTCCGTACTCGCCTGATCTCGCACCTTGCGATTTCTTTCTCTTTCACCACTTGAAAGCAAAGCTACGTGGTCGTAGATTTCAGGCGTCCGAGGACGTGGCAATTGCCACAAGAGATGCTGTATGGGAATTTCCTGCCAATATGTTTCAGCAATGTTTTTGGCAGCTATATTAACGTTGGCAGACTTGCATAGCGACCAACGGCAACTATTTTGAGGGCCGATGTGGATCTGTGTAAGTGTATGCGAATACGTTGTAATAAAAAAACTCTGTGATTTTAGTCTGCAAGCGAACTATACCGACCGAGTGACTGCCACTTGTCAGCGAAGTTTAGTGCCAACTTTTTGCCGATAAAGGGTGTCACGTGGCAGCGCAATGAATCCCCATGGCCGTTAATGTAATATGATGCGATAAACACCAGTCCACGAAATTAATGACTGTACCACATACAAATTCCTGTTTCTTGTCAACTGTAGTTAGTGTTCTGTTGTAGTTTAGCCGAGATTGTGGAGTCACACAGAACATGGTACACTTTACATACATACAAGTATGGCTATATATATATCTTTACAATTTTTTATATTCTAGTTCATTCATTTTATTAACTGCATATTTTAATATACTGTACTTTATCAATTAAGAGACAATTAGCAAACTTAATCAAATGCAACTATGTGAACAGGGTCCCAAGTTCAGTAGAATGTGGGCATCAGTACTCAATAAAGTGAAGTTTTTAAGTACTGTGTCATCTGAATATGGCCCTGCAATCAGGGTCAAAACATGCAGAATGTTAAATAGCTAAGTTCATGGTATCTCAAGCATTTCCAGTTCTTTAAAATGGATCTTACAATGGATCTTACAGAAACAGGTTGTGAAGATGTGGACTGGATTCATCTGGCTCAGGGTATGGTCCAGTGGCAGGCTACTGTGAACATGGTAATGAACTTTGGTTTCCATAAAACAATGGAAAGTTGTCTACCTGAGCAACTATTAGCTTTTCAAGAATGTCACTGGTCCATCAGGTTAGTTAAGTTAGTTGTGTGATGAAGTGATTCCTAACTTGGGCTCAGAGCCATGTAATGTACCGTACAGAAAACCAATCAAATTTGGGGCAAGATACAAACAACTTCACATATAACACATTCTGAAACCATACAGTCAGTTTCTACATTTATGGCTAACTTAATGATGACATCATTGAGCAGGCCGGTCTAGTAGTATTGCACCAGACTTGTATTCAGGAAGGACTTGGTTTGAATCTTAGCTGGGACACTGCCTATCCTGATCAAGGTTTCTTGCTCCTGGCAAACAGCAGGACAGTAACTCAACTCTATATGCTTTCAAATTCATGAATCATCCTGCCACTCGACACTACATAGTCCAGGTAGACACCGCCACACAACCCCCCACCATACAGCACTGACTCGTACCATACATGCAGTCAGGCCAACTGCTACAGTAAAACCCCGGTTACAATTTGCAACCAAGTGAGTCTCACTTGACCTGTCAGCATGCTCTCGTTGATGATACAATTTCCTGTCAGGAGGGCAGCGTCACAATGCATCACACAGCCATGTGAGGGCACCACCATCACATCCCCTGGTACCAGGTGCTCTGTAGGTATCGGGTCCAGTTTCCCTGTGTCACCACGTATCACGGTCACCACATCAGAGGAGTGCACTGTACTGCGGAGGTTCTGCTGGTTCTGCAACACACACCACCCGTGTTCAGAGAAGGGCAGCACACTTTCAATCCACCTCCTTCCTAGTCCATTTCTATAGGCTGCATGTTTACTTACCTCCTACACACTTCCGCACTTCATTTCCCTGATTCCTATCTCCTTCCTAGACCATTTCTATAGGCTGCATCTTTACTTACCTCCTACACGCGCTTCTGCACTTCATTTCCATGATTCCTACCTCCTTCCCAGACCATTTCTATAGGCTGCATGTTTACTTACCTCCTACACGCGCTTCTGCACTTCATTTCCCTGATTTCTACCTCCTTCCTAGACCATTTCTATAGGCTGCATGTTTACTTACCTCCTACACACTTCTGCACTTCATTTCCTTGATTCCTACCTCCTTCCTAGACCATTTCTATAGGCTGCATCTTTACTTACCTCCTACACGTGCTTCTGCACTTCATTTCCATGATTCCTACCTCCTTCCTAGACCATTTCTATAGGCTGTATGTTTATTTACCTCCTACACACTTCACTCTTCATTTCCTTGATTTCTACCTCCTACCTAGACCATTTCTATAGGCTGAATGTTTACTTACCTCCTACACACTTCTGCACTTCATTTTCCTGATTCCTACCTCCTTCCTAGACCATTTCTATAGGCTGCATGTTTACTTACCTCCTACACACTTCTGCACTTCATTTCCCTGATTCCTACGACATGCATGAATTATAAAGAATTCAAAACAAATGCACTGAAAACACATTACTAAATGTGAAAACAATGCGGTTTATTCACCAACACTGCAAGTAGCTCAGATGACTGTGCTACAATGATTAATCAATGATGAATTTGAAAGGATAAAGAAGAAAGTGGTTGTGGCCTATTACAAGATACTTTCCTGGTATCTGAATTAAGAAACTGAAGAAAACCATGAAACCTCAGTCAGGATATTTTTTTCTTACTACTAGTGGTGTGGGACTAAGTCCCTTGTACTGCGGCCACTTCTGGCCTATTGTACCAGACCCAGATGATAGGTGAGGGTGATTGTGGAGCAATTGGTGGAATGAAGATTGGTAGGGGAAACCGAAGTACGCGGAGAAAACCTGCCCCAGCGCCACTTTGTCCACCACAAATCCCACTTGATCAGACCTGGGATCGAACACATGCTGCCATGGTGGGAAGCCAACAACTAAACGCTTGAGCTATGGCACGGCCTAGTCAGGATAGTTGATGCCAAGGCTGACATTTGAACTTGGCCCTCTCGTATACATGTCAGAAGAGCTCCCACCTCGGCCAACTTGCTCAATAAGACAGATGGCATGGACATGTTTTGAGAATGAATAAAGACAGAATCTCAGAGAATGTTCTGAACACAAAAATAAAAGGGAGATGCCCAAGAGCAGGAGCCTCGGGGAGACCCAGAGAGATGGAGAGGCTTCATTGCTAGGCAACCCACATAAAGTGTAAGTGTCAGAGGATGAGGAGAAAGTAGCACCATTGTGGGTTTCTTGACAACACACTGCCGTACCAACATGGTAAAACCTGAGCTTGAGGCAGCAATACACAATAGCGTACACTGCACCAAATAACAAGAAAGTTGCATTTAACAACTCTCCACATCAGTGAAATTTAATACAAATTCAGTTTTAGTTTTTATAAAAATTTTGTAACTTTGACATGTTACAGCCTTTGTTCGCATACATGCAAACTGCAAAGTTTTCTATAACATCTGGTATTCCAGTTGCTGATGGCATTTGCGACTGAAACATGCCAGGGCCTGACTAATGTCTGATCAGCTGCAGAAAATATATTCCATACACTCAGGTGGTGATTTTACATCTTATGACAGGCTATAAGCTGGCCAGCCAGGGTCCAATTCTTGGTAGGGGAAAGATTTTTCTCTTCTCCATAGCACCCAGGCCTGTCCACCCTCCTATCCGATAGGTATGGGGGCGATTTATCCCAGGGTAAAGTGGTCATCTAGAGCCAGCATCAAGAATTGTGGAGATAAACCTCCACTCCCCCATGTCTTCATGGCACAGTGCTTAATTAATTAAGCACAAGGAAGACTTCGAGGCACGCGGTAGCATAGTTGGTTGAGGCACTATGCTACTAGCCAGAAGGTCACAGGTTGAAGTCCCAACCAGGTCACTGGATTTTTTTTTTCAATTGACCTAATCCTTCCAGCTGCACTATGGCCCTGGGATCAACTCAGCCTCAGCCTCTAACAGAAATGAGTACCAGGAATTTTCCTTGGGGTAAAGTGCAGCCGGCACATAAGGCTGACAACCTTACCGCCATCTTTGAGCCAAATGTCTAGATAATGTGGGACCCTCAACATCTCACAACCCTATGGGCCTCTGAGGCCTGTTACAGGGGTAGATTTACCTTTATTTTTACAGGGATGACTTCACCTTTTTACAATGAGGCTTAACCTTTGGAGTTACAGCTGCTTGCTGTTCCACCATTCTGAATCCAGAGGGCTGAGTGGTTTTCCTCCAAGAGGCAAAGTATCACAATAGCAGCACTGCTAGCAGTGTGACAGGTGGTTTCTCATTTATGTCTTTACTGTTTCAGGAACCGCCAGACAGCCACAATACTGTTGGATGGTTACTCTTATTAGGACACACACTTGTAGTCTTATTTATGAAAGTCTAACTTTCTACCAACCTCTGAGAAAACAGAGTCAAATTTATGATGGGGTCTGTGGAAACACATTGTGTGCCACATCACAGGTTCTGACTGCTAAACTAATACGTATACAGATATGGGAACTGCTGTCATGAACTCACTCACTTTCCTAGTCTGTAAGATTGCCATCACGATACCAAACATAGACATGGCCAGGATTGCCAATGCGTAATATATATAGTCATCAGCAAACCACAAGCAGAACGAGAACAGCTGGAACACGTAGAATGGGTTCAGCACCTCCAGGAAGAGGAGAGTGATGATCCCATAGATTGGAACAACGATCTCATTTCTACCATACACCACACGCCTGCAAAATACAAGCAACAGTTGCTATCAACATACAGTGAACTGGAATGTCATGAAGCTGCATCATCAGTCATCACTCAGTTTCACATGAAATGGGTGAAAGACATGCTGCACTTTCTGTCATTATGACCGATTCAAAATTCAGTGGCACACTGAGTCACTAGCAGAGTGTTCTGTGACATCAGACGTCATGAGCTACTTAACATCTTCTCAAGAAAACATTACAAAAAAATATTCGTTCTTGTTTATGCAATTTCCTTCAGAACCACAAGACATGCAGAGCCCACACCACTTCATTTGCAGCCAGTTACACCAACTTCTTGCTTGACGAGGCACAAAACTTGAACCACACCAAGTCGAATAGTGCCCAGCTGCAGTACCACTCCTGAGCTTTACCTCATGGCCTGCTGGTGGGCTGAAAGACCCTGCTGCCGGTGCAATGCTGCTGTGCTCACATCTCTGTCCAGGCCACACAACTTGAGGAACTCTCCGCGGTCCTCGTCCCACACATAGCTCAGCTTCTTGCAGCGGAACACGCGCAATGATGGAAACTCTGCAATAACAGCCATTATGAGTGCACAATATTGCAACTCCTCCTGACATTACAGCTGTCAGTCTACACTTACCCTTGAAGACACCTCCTGACAGATGCACTGACAGCTTTGCATCAGTGCTGCCCTTCATGTCAGTGAGCATGTGGTCATCCCACGTGACAGGGTGCTCCTCCCCCTTCCTGCAACAAGAACGGGGGGTGTAAACGCTACAGTAGTACCACTGTCATCTTCTGGTTAGTTCAGACTTCCATTGCATTGCCTACAGCCCCTGCTACTCTCCAGGTACACCTGTCCTCCTCGCTGGTCACTTGTACAAGCTGCATCCCACTTTCACCCAGGGGCAAAGCTGCAGGTGAAGGCTCTGTGTTTGTCCAAAGCGTCAGTGGGCTTCTATCAGACTACAATGGCATCACATACTCTTCATAGTCACTAGTGCGAAAACCTCAGATCTAAAATGCAAACACATTCTTCTCTTTCCACAAGATTCAGTGCATGGGATTTGCTACCAAAGTAAAAATAAGCCTTTAAATTTATAGATCTCCTAAACTCAATTTTTGTGTGTATAAGAGAAATTCTCCAAGTGTTGCACAAAGACCTCCTAAGTGCACAGGCGGGACACTTTCCACAGTGTGCGTAGGTGTAACAAGTGATACCTGTGCAGCTATACAACCACAAACAATACTTACCGTGCATTGCTGCCGCAGGAAACGGTCTCAACTGGCTTCACATAGAAACTCCTGTGATTGCTCTGATACAGCTCCTGGAACATGAGGCATTTCCTTTTGCAGTTCATGTTACAGTCAAAGGATGTCAGACACTGACAGCAGAATACAAATTTGAATGTGACCACATAGTGACATGCTTGTGTTCAGATGACCCCAGGCATAGGCAATTAGCTACCTTCTTCTGAGGATGACTATGCAAACCTTGATCATGTGAACACACCCTTAAAAATGAAGAAAGCAGTCTTCTGGGATTTGGCACCGTGTATATGTGGTGTTAACCGACGTTTTGGAGGAACGTATCGCCTCCGTCTTCAGGGTAGAAGAAAAGATATATAAGAAATCTGCAAGCAAAGAGACCGTGAGAACCGGTNCTTAAAAAGCTTTAAATTCAACATTGAATGGTTAGCACGTCTGCTTCAGATGTAGAAGATTCTGGGCCTTGAGATCTCAGCCCATAGACTGGCTATTATGACCGAGAATTCATGTGCAGTTTAATTTACTATGATCTCAGTATCTAGACTGTACAGCTACATGACAGGTTCAGTGCTGAATGATGAACTGGAAAGGACTTGAATGGAAGCAGTCAAGGCCTAACAAGGATGACATTTGCATGGAGGAACTGAGGAAAACCATAAAAAGCTTCTGTTAGGACAACTGGTGTCCAAACACAGATTCAAAATTGGGTACTGACCAAATACAAGTTTATATTATTACTGTCCAGTGATCTTCTCTCATTTTCCTCAGTCCATACAGGCAAATTCTGGGACAGTATGTTAAATAAGGCATAACCACTTCCTTCCACATCCCTTCCAATTCACTATACACTAGCCATTCCATCCTTTGATGCTACATAATCACAAGACACAAGACACATCAGTGTAGCAGAAGGAAATGTTCTGTTGTACTTCCACTGCATACTCTTTTTTAATTCGCTTAGTGGGGGGTGGAGTCCAACTGGGTCCACTCGGCACAGTGGCCACTGATTGGCCTACTGGTGGAATGAAGATTGGCAGGGGAAACCAAAGTACTCGGAGAAAACCCGCCCCAGCGCCACTTTGTCCACCGCAAATCCCACTTGACCAGACCCGGGATCGAACCTGGGCTGGAGTGATGGGAAGCCAGTGATGAACCACTTGAGCTATGGCGCAGCCACCACATACTTTCATAACAACAACACATTACACATCTCATCAGAAACTGGTAAGTCTGAGCCAAAACAAAACAATTTAGTCTGATGATACATTCCATAAGGTGTATACTAGAATTACTTCTCTCTTAGAGCCACTGGTAAGATTTAATCACATCCTAATCAAGCTCACTGAATAAGTAGGGAAACACGCCACATCCTGCGTGAAACGTTGCTGCAGCCGCAACACTGTCAGACAATTACATAGATCACTATGCTGTCATCAACAAACCACCAGACTCCATTCCAAACACACAATAGGACTCAAGATTACCACACCAGTCATCTCGCTGAACACACAGCACTTTGCATTTGTAAGGTTGCCTACTCAAGTCATGAAGCACTTTCTGATGTTTCAGGCAGATAACATTGTAAGAACCTGTCCATTTGGTTTCTACTGCTCAATTATCTTGAACAACGATAACATAATGGGCATAAAATTTGTGTTTTGATGTTCTATGCATCTTCTACTTCAAACAATTTTCACTCTGACATGCATTTAGCGAGCTATGTGCCAGTAATGCTCGGGACTTCTGCAGACACGTCACTCACCACAACTAGAACCTTCTCGGCCAATTTGAGGGAACACTTTCTGTGTGTAGCATACAGCATCCAATGTGGCCACCAGTGAAACACCAGGCGCAGCACCCCACCAGTAAGCACAATGAATAGCCACGTTAGGGCTGTGAACACGGGCTGACACCGGTAGCCATGCACTTCCTACAACAAGTTGAATAAACATGGCGTTGTGGTTTTTTCTTCTATACACCAGATGATGGATAGAGTCCAAAATAAGCCTTATATTTCTGTATAGCATACACCATCATCAGAATCCTTTCAAGTCTAACTGTATTCTCTAGTTTTTAGAATACCGAACGATGGACCTAAGTGGAAAAACTAAGTATTTCTGATAAAATTGTAGGTATCTCTAGTATTCATCACAAACACAGCGAATTCTCAGCCCAAACTCACTCAGAAACACTCACCATCTGATCCTCTTCCCCGGGGTTGATGTAGTCAGTGCCAGTGTGCAGGGGTGGGGGCCCATGCTGACTGTCCTCAGCTCCTGAAACACAACAGCCACATCACCACGAACTCCTATACAGCAATCCTCTGCAGATGGCAGTGTTCTTAAATAACCTACATTACAGTAAAATGTAGCAAACATATAGCAGGATAATTAATGTGATGACCCTAAACATGGAAGTACATCACTTACACTGGTACCAACTGGACAGACTGAATTGTGAAGTGGTAATTCTGGTGGTACATTAAGTGAACCATTAATTCTGACACTCCATTTTAATCATAAAAGATTGTGCTCAACTTATGGGAACTGCCCAGTTTTCTCACACACCAACAGTTAGCAGTTCATCAGCTGTTCCAGGAATTCCCTGATGTGCCTAAGGCAACACATGATGTTGATGATGATCAATCACCACCACCACCACCAGAGTTTAATCCACACTCTCACAGCATCCTTCCCAAAGAGTTACTTTAATATTCCCTGTGTGTTACTTATCTCCAAACTGACCTCTTTTGGCAAACTTCTACAAGCAAAATTCTTAATGTATTTCTTGTTGGCATCACACGTGCTAAATATCCAGTCCATCTCAACCTTCTTGATTTTAATGCATGTAATAATAATATTACACAAAAAATGGGAACAAAGAAGTTCTATGAAGAAAGTTGTCTTCTGGGTTTTGGTGCCGTGTAGTCTTCGTTTTAGCTGATGTTTCAGAGGAACATCAGCTAAAATGAAGAATACATGGCGCCAAAACCCAGAAGATGACTTTCTTCATAGTCATCGCCGTGAAAACCTCAAAACTTACAAAGAAGTTCTATGTTTATGTAAATTTCTCTGTTCTGCAACTGCTTGTTCCCTCTTAGGCCTGAACAGTCAGTCTCCTGACATCACAACACAGAACAGAGACCTCAATACAAGTTGCTCTGGACAGCCCTTCCAGACCTTGGGCTAACCAGACAGAGGCAGTGCAAACTGGTCACATTGGAGATGGAGAGGGGACTGTCTACACATACCAATCTTACTGCTAAAGGCCGGAAGGCTATTTTGAAACATCACTCACAATAGAAACATATGTGAACACATCAGAACTAACATATGCACAAGTTATGTGCATCAGAAAGCCAGTTCCTGAGCACTGGCCAAATGGGAGTATGTCAGGATTCACAGAACCGGTGCTTTCAAAACATAAAGCAAAGAGCCAATTCTGATAAGGGATAGTGCTTATCTCAGCACAAACATCATGTTGCATTCAAGGTTCTCAGAGCACTGGCTATGAGGGGTGCTACCATCTGGGGTGTGGCACCAGGCAGCCTGGTACAATCTGCAACTCTAGCTCTCTCAGCTGCTGTTTCCTGCTGGATACTTGCATGACTTACTCTCTGACCCTGAAGATGGAGGCAGTACGTTCCTCAAAATGTTGCTGAATTTCTACCACACTACACAGTGTCATATTCTGGAAAACAGTTCTTTCCTTATTTCATACAGTAACTAGCTTGCAGACTTCACTAATGCTTGCTCAATATTGTGCAAGAACTGATGACCTGATGAAGGCATGTCTGAGCCAACTAAAACAAAACTATTTGAATACTTCGTCTCATCCGTGACAATCTTGACTGAAACAAAATAATTTTGTGTCCTTACATGTTCCTTCTCGAGGTGGGGTGAGACTGAGTCTACTTGATATGCCGGCCACTAATTGGCCTATTGTACCAGTCCCGGATGACAGATGATGAGTGTGGAGCAGTCAGTGAATGAGAATTGGTAGGGGAAACCAAAGTACTTGCAGAGAGCCTGCCCCAGTGCCACTTTCTTCACCACAAATCTCACATTACCTGACCTGGGATCAAACCCAGGCCACTACGGTGGGAAGCCGATGACTAACCGCCTGATGATCTATGGCATGGCCTGTCCTTACATGCTGAGTGACAAACATCACTTGAAAACATACCACTATGTTATCCACCACGTTCATTTCAACAACATGTAGGTTTATTTGCAAAAACAGAATCAAAAACCTGACCTGTTAAAAATGGACCAAAGGCCTACATTTTACAAACGAAACCAAAAGCCCAAATATGTGGACTTACTGAGGACAAATTCTAACGTCAGACTTTGAGTCATTCTTTTACAAATGAACTTCCAAGCTTGGTAGGACTAACAATGGCAGCCAACATGGTGATGAACATTAAAGTCACTCAGGTCACCCACCGACATGCAGGTACCCTATTCTGAATGACAGACCACTTATGCAGCTGTGACCTGGGGCAGAGCATAACTAACACTGCAAGAAACTGTGGAGGCTTTATTCACCCCCACCCCCACTACCACAAGGTTAACATTACAATAACACGCATCAGATCCATTACCACTGAAAGGAGGAGGTACATTAACAGACTTATCCGAAGAAGTGACCTGACCTTTTAGCAGCTCGGTGGCCTGTTCCTGGTGGGGTCCCTTCACCTGGCTGTATGGGTTGCTGTGAAAGCCCAGCTTAAGTGGGCTAGGAGTTCCTGGCATTGTGATACAATAAGCAAGCTGTCCTGGTCACAACACGAGACACACTTAACAGTTCTGTCACACACAATCACACTGTTATCAGTCTGGACAACTCTTGCCGTGGCAAAGGAGAGAAAGCCGGGGTCAGTCTCCGGGATCAGGTTTCTTCCATCCCACATATGGGCACAAGGCCATCCTCACAATGTCTGATAATATGTGGCGAGGGTAAAGTGTGGAGGAACTTGGAGACATCACGAGCTCAAGGGAAGACACTCTATTTTGCAACACACTCATCTACTGGATTGTAGCGTGGCTGAGGTTTGGTAGGTCCTGCCACAAGATTGCAGACACGCACAATGTGCTCCACACAAACAGCGGCTTCCACGTCAGAAGGAGCATGGTCCTGCAAGGAAATTTCTGGGGTCGTTAATAACCAATGTAGACATGAACTGGTGCTATGAAACATCTACACAGTCCTAACGTAATCTACATCTGTAACACTATTTCTCTTCCCATCCAATTCTTGTCTCAAGAATACAGTGCAGAGTGTAACAAGGAATTTCCTTTTCATGCAGAGTTATCCAGCCACCACTTAGCTACAATACGATTCTCATTTCATCCAACATTCACTTTTTTTCTTCTGTCCAATTAGGCAGAAATGTGTCTTCCAGCCATATAATTTTCTGTAAATATTATGTTTTTGGCTTTGAGGCCATCATTACAGTAACAATGAAAAATACGCTCTTCTGTGTTGTAACGTCATGCAGTTTTGAAGAACATATAACTCCATCTTCAGTGTTGAAGAGTTAGGCAGGCAAGAAACCAGCAGAAGTAGGCAGAAAGCTGAGCTGGTTCCCACTGGCTCTCTCTTGTCCCCTTGCAGAAAACAGTCATCTTCCGAGGGGCTCTTTCAGTTTCTTTCAGGCTGGGACAGGCCTGCATCGGGCCTCACATTCCATGTGAGGCTTACCCAGCTTGCCAACCAGTTCTACTTGCTTCTTGCTTGGCTTAGCCTTTGACAGTGAAGATGGGGGTCATATGTCCTCTGCACAGTTGGGCTTCCTCCAGCAATTAATGTCAATCACTACAACCAAGAAGATTGTACTCTTCATCTCTGCTTTTCGCAAAATAAGTTCAAGGCCACGAAACTGAAAATGTGACACAAGTAATGACATTTGTGGCATGGGAAAAAAATACATTACAAACGAATTGCATTTACTTGTAAAGCCTGCCCACAATTTTATAACAAATTTTGTGTAACAACCGATAGTCTACAATACTGTCAACTAAAGTACTGCTGAATTTGGAACAAAAGTTTCTCTTGTGTTAAAATCAATCACAAGCAAATTTATGCCACACATTAATATACATATAAAACCTTCATCAAGTGCATCTAACTGGACACACTTTGTGGTAATGTTATACCTACCTTAACGTAAAGAGTGCATTGGCAATAACGATTTTTACCAAATTATGCTACATGCATTTGAGACGTTTTACAGCTTGAAAAAAGTAAAATATTTCTGCCATATTGCCTTTCAATTCCCTCAACATGGACGAGGAGGAAAGAAATCATTTTCTTTTTTAAAGACACAAAAGACAAAATATTGAAACTAAAACACAATACAAACAAAAAAAATGTTATTCTTTTACACAAAAACCGGTTCTCCTTCCAAGGATTTTGGCAGAATTTAAAGCAGAACCGAACATCGATGAGCTGCTCTCGAATTTTAAAAAGCAGAAGCCTTTAACACAGACGTTACTTTTAGAATTTCTCACCAATAGAGCTCTAACCCCAAATATTTCGAAATTCCTACCAGAGAAATTAATTCCCTCAAATACCTACAAATTTGTAAGTATAAAAAGGAATCGAACTTTCCGGGTACTGATTGACACAGATTGTTGGCTACCTTTCGTATGTCACAATAGGAAACTTAAAAAATATATACACATCATTAACATTCTCAGAGAAATAATAATGGTGAACACTCGGCTTTTAACACCAGAAATGATCTGTAATCCTAAATTTTCTACCGACAGCATACCCTTAAACACAAGAAAATTTTCCGGTAAAATGTAAGCTTCAGTACAAACAGAGGTCAATTCACGACACAAAATACCACACTTCACTGTAGCGATATCACATTATTGATATCACGCAGAACGAATTTTTGGCCTTCAGCACGCTTTTACTTTCACCTTACAAACAATCGTTGTCCTCTGGACAATGTTAACACGTTTAACACACAACGACAAATGAACACCTATGCACGACTCGCATTGGCGGAAGGACAGTCATAGCATGAATCCAGTACCCATCCCCCCCCCCAAACTTACATTCCAATTATTTCTTTTTGTGTCCAGCTCTTTCTGATTCCAGATTACGTATCTTAATTTATTGTTAGCCTTATACAAACAAAGCAAATTAGCTACAAAATGCATCAACAAAATTCCAACTACTATATCAATTCAGCAGGTTACTATATTTTCACCAATTCTGTCTTCTGCATGTGACGACATACAGGCACAGAGTCACCATGCTCTAAAATTACCGCATGAGTAAGAAAATTTCCCGAAATTTGAACATTAAAATATTGAATTGCGCACAGTGAATTAGTTTTGTCCACATATACGGTCAGTGTTTTAATCCTTCGTTTACAATCTATGATGTGGTAACTCCCGCATCCTACAATAAATCAGAGTTCAAAGCAACATTTTTCATTTCCGATTTGCCAGTCTTGTGTTGGCAGCCAGGAAGTCTTGACCAGCAAGACGCGTCAGCTATTCGTCATAGATTCTGTGGAGTCGAAATGCCGTTGTGCATGTTTTTCCTTTATTTTGTTTTGTGCGCTTAATTTCTTTTGTACACGCGCGTGGGGAATGAGGGACTGAATACGCAGAACGGAAGATCCTATCCAACAAAGGAGAAGAATCAAACGATAGTATAAATCGCATTCCCTTCCTAGATTTCCTGCAGTTCAAGAGTTAGGACGCCGTGAAGTCCACTGAAAGTCAATCGACAGGTCTGAGGAACAAGTCGCCTTCTTCTTCAGTGCTGAAGAGTACGCCGAGACAAAACCCAGCATAAAGCAGGCGATAAGAATTTGTAAGCATTTGCTTGCCCTCTGCTTCTTGCTGGTTTCTTGCGTGGCTTACTATTCAGTTTTGAAGATGAAATCAATATATGCTCCTCCAAAACATCGGCTGACTTTCAACGGACTACAGGGCATGATATCCCAGATGGCAGAATCTTTCATAACCACTGCTGTGAGAACCTGAATCCTGCTTCCTGCAATTTGTATAATATTTGTATCACTCACTCGTGGAGCAGAGCCCATCTTGAGAAGCCGCCAATTGTGCAGCTACTCAAGAATTTCCCAGCATTTTATGGAATCCGAAGGCTCATTACCACGTTCACAAGAGCCCTCCACTGGTCCTTATCCTGAGCCGGATAAATCCATACCATCCCATCCTATGTCTCTTAAGATCAATTTTAATATTGTTCACCCACCTAGCCTTGGTCTCCCCAGTGGTCTCTTTCCATCTGACTTTCCCACCTGTATGCTATATGCATACCTCTTCTCCCCCATTCGTGCTATATGCCCTGCTCATATCATCCTCCTTGACTTGATCATTCTAATTATACTTGGAGAAGAGTACAAGTTATGAAGCTCCTCATTATGCAGTTTTCTCCAACCTCCTGTCACTTCATCTCTCTTTGGTCCAAATATTCTCCTCAACATCCTCAGTCTATATTCCTCCCTTAATATCAGAGACAATGTTTCACATCCATACAGAACCTGTATATATTTTATACATTTATGAACATATTTAACATATAAAATGTAAATATCATTTATATTATGAGAAACGACTCACTACTGCAGGCAACTCTCTCGTCAGAGAGTGCGGCCCACAAAACAAGACCGTAACTGCCGAACAGTAATAAATATCTGGTCATAGCTCCAGTTGGGCTCGACACCAAGACTGACTGACTCTGATGTGTACCAGACTACATTGCGTCACATGCCAGAACACAGTGCTCGTACTGTGACCGCCCCAGGTCTCGCCCGACGTAACTATACGTACCCGAGTGCTGGCTCGTACTGTGACCGCCCCAGGTCTCGCCCGACGTAACTATACGTACCCGAGTGCTGGCTCGTACTGTGACCGCCCCAGGTCTCGCCCGACGTAACTATACGTACCCGAGTGCTGGCTCGTACTGTGACCGCCCCAGGTCTCGCCCGACGTAACTATACGTACCCGAGTGCTGGCGACCTCAGATGTCGCTACAAAACTGAATAGCATTAAGAAGACGGACACACACAAGAGATGATTACCGACAGCAGGGTGGGGGATGAGAAGTTGCGCATGTAGCACGTACCTGGCTGTGCCATGGCTCGACCGATTAGTTTCCGGCCCCTCCACTTCTCATTACACCGACTGTCCCACACTCATCATCATCCGGGACTGGTGCAATGCACTGCAACCTGAGAATAAAGTAAGCACGCAGATTGTATAACGTTCACTTAGTTCAGCACAGGCTCCTTCTGCTGTAACTACATTCCGCCGAAAAAACGTAATTTTCTGAACTGAAGGCATCCATGTTTCTCTAAATTTTGGGGCGCCTTGCCAAGGTTCGAACTGGGCAGGCCTTGTTCGGTTACAGTAACGCATTTAATTACAAATATCTGGAAATATATTACGTCTACCTGTTGATGTAATTCTCGTGAAATTAGCTCCAAGACTGAGGTCACAGTGAACAAGGCCACCACCGCGGCTTCGAAGCCTGAGGGGCCAACCAGAAGGCATGTGAAGAACACTGGAACATCGCCACTCTCACGCCCTGTCACGGGGCTTACTGCATTTCAGTCAACCAATCTGCAGGCTCAAATAGTAAGTAAAGAAATGTAAAGCTATCTCCGTAACAGGCCGTGAAGGTCCACAGGGTTGTGAGACGTTGAGGCTCCCACATTATCTTGACAATCGGCTCAAAGATGGCGGTGAGGTTGTCAGCCTTATGCGCCGGCCGCGCTTTACGCCCCAAGAAAATTATTTAATTAATTCCTGGTACTCATTTCTGTCAGAGGCTGAGTCGATCCCAGGGCCATAGTGCGGCTGGAAGGATTAGGTCAATTGAAAAAAAAAATCCAATGACCTCATCGGGACTTGAATCCGCGAACTTCAGGCTTGTAGCATAGTGCCTTAACCAACTAAGTGCTATTAAAATGGTACGTGAATTTGTGTTAATAAAATATATAATCCTCTCAAAAGCGAAGAGATGTATTGAGATGTATGAGGTTTACTACTTACGAAGCAGGGAAACATATGCGAATTGAAAAACCCGTACAGTAAAACCTCGCTAATCCGGATGTCGGATAATCCAGATCGAAATTTGAAAAACGAAAAATTCTGTTCACAGTTGGGTAGATACTTTTAAAAAGACATAACGCAGTTAGGAGCAAGAGGACTTTAAGACTGTGTTGAGGGCAGCTGGAGAGACTGAAACCGCGCAAGGCGGCTTGAGTACAGGAGCAAGAGGGATTGGAGCGAGAGGACTTTCAGGCTGTGTTGAGGGCAGCTGGGGAGACTGAAACCGCGCAAGGCGGCTTGAGTACAGGAGCAAGGGGGATTGGAGCGAGAGGACTTTCAGGCTGTGTTGAGGGCAGCTGGAGAGACTGAAACCACGCAAGAAAATATCCAAGATGGGCCTGAGCTGGATGAAGGAGACCTTAGATAACAGGTTCTGACAAAGGAAACAATTAATGGAATGCTATTTTTATATGTATATTTTCATCAACACTATCCACATTATTAAAATTTCCATTTATTTGTTTTCTAAGTTTCTTTCTTTGTCTTCTAGGGCTTTCTTTTGTTTCATTAATCCGGATTAGCAGAGGTTTACTGTATTAAAGAAATGTACTGAGCCGAGACGGCAACACAGGAAGGAGAGCATTAATGTAGGTCTGTTCAGTGGAGTTCCTTATAGGCAATGGTGAAATCAAGCTGTCGAGGAGAAACGTTAGCAAAATGCGTTATTTAGACATGAATATGGAGCTACAAATGCAAAAGAATAGAAGGACAAGCCAAAATGGGACATGTGTGATACCTTTGTCTGACAGACAATTGTATAGTTCGGTGAGGCCGCTTCACGTATGAAATGCATACAAACACTTCGTTTCGAGAACACCCAAAGAGACACAGGGAAACAAACCGGGGTCAGGCCCGCTTTACCACAGGCAGATTGCTGCTTGGCTGTTTGGTTTGGAGGAGTAAGTCCGTAATGGACAAACCCTTCCCTGTTAAAAGAGCACATAGACACTGTTTTAGCAGTTAATTATAAAATTCGTGTTCATTTTGTCTGGCATTTTCCAGTGAACAGTTCGACGTTTTGCCGTGCCTCATTCTCGGAGGCGCAAGGCTCATCACCAGTCACCGGCTTTTACAAGCGGTCGCCTTTAACCGGCGATCCGAACAAATCTGATTTATCCTCGTTTCCCGACAAAAGAGAACCAGAAGCAGAAAATCAAGCCTGTCGATCAACACAAAAGAGTCACGTAGGTACGTGATCCAACAATCGTTGTCATCTGCCGCATATGAACAGGAGAGCGGCAATTCAGTTGCCACACCGGATACACGGTTAGGCAGAAAAGGAAATATTGAAAGGAGTGAGAAATCTGAGGTCGGTAATGCAGGATAGACTTAGCTGCAGACCTGCACAGGTTATTCAGAAGGAATGGGCAAAACCAGATGGCCGGCGGTAGACAGCATGGAATTAACCCACAGGACGAATAACACGGAAAAGACAACGTAACAATGGAGAGAAGATTCTGAGGCCGGTACAGGCAAAGCCAACAAGAATAAACAGTTTATTGCACGTGACGTCAGTGCGGGCCGCTTGGCAACAAACAGCGATGAGATGCGATGCTACCGCAGTTTGTCCACTTCACGCATACATATAAATATATATTTTTCGCATTACTTTCTGGCGCAATCTTAGAATATCTTCCATTGTACCCCACGTCATGTGCCTGTAAGGCAGAAGATAACTTCCATTACAAGTTACTCTAAACAGTTGCGTAATACACAAAATTGACCTCCAACTTCTGACACTTTGCCAAGGCCCACCGGTCTGTATGCATGTGGCCTTGGAGGAAGACTTCCGGCTCCGTCGGCAGATGTCGCGTGCGTTTCCACTCGAGATGAGTCCAGCAGTTACCCCAACAATAAGGTAGAGTGCTGGAAGTCTTTAACAGAAGCTGGGAGACCAACTGTAATTTTT